TTTTGCAATAGGAACTGTCAACCTTTAACAAGATACCAGTTTGCAGCTATGGTTTCCAAATGCATCAGATATATGGGACTCGACCCATGTAAGTTCAAATCACACTCGTTCCGCATTGGAGCAGCCACTACTGCCGCAGACATGGGCGTGTCATCGGAGACAATACAGATGTGGGGTCGATGGAAGTCTAAGGCTTACTCAACTTACATTAGACTCTAAACTTTGAATTCACAATCAATGACTTCAGGTAATTTGCTATTTATAAATAATTATTATTATTCCAGATGTATGGATAATAGGCTCATCATTCATTTATTGGGCCCATCGTCAGTCGTTGAGGTTGAAACTGGGAAACAACCTGGGACTGGCTTACCTAGGGTTACGTTTTTACTGGTTTGGAAAGCGGGGGATGAAGTGGTCAGAACTTGTGCAAGTCGTCCAGACACAATTAGGCCGTCTAACCCCCCCAAGTCTAATACTCTTGCATTTGGGATCAAATGACCTTGTTGACCAGAATATTGGTTCCCTCCTTTGCCATGTTACTGGTGACATCTACTACCTGGCTCAACTGCTGCCAAGTACAGTTCTTGTTTGGTCAGAAGTGCTACCAAGGTTATACTGGCATGGAGCTGTCAACCCAAAGGCGATAGAAAGGGCTCGACGTCGACTGAACCGAGCTGGGGCCAAAGCAGTGTTGCATTGGGGGGGGGCACTGTATTTATCACAAGCTTACCATGTCTGAAACAGGACTTTTCCGCCATGATGGCGTACATCTTTCCGAAGTCGGAAATGCATTGTTTGTAAACACTTTACAAGAGGCTTTTCAGCACTTCATGGCAGATACTGAAGTAAAAAGTAAGGTATTTTTGGCTAATTAATCTCTTGCACCATAACGGTAATCACAGTACAAGTATTGGAGGAGTTGTGTATAGACACATCTCGTGGCGGAACACTTTTGGGCTGGGAGTTGTGATTTTGGTGTTTTGGGGGTCTTTGAGGCGTACCCTCTAGGCTCTATTGTATAATGGTGGTTGTAGAGCCTACAGCAGACCCCCTATGCGCTTTTCCCTGGGGGGTCCCATCATTTGGCTCTGTATGGATTACCCTCGGAGCCGCGTTTGCTGTTCTGACGGTGTCGAGTGGGCTGTCAATGCAGTGGTCGTTCAGATAGCCTCTCCTTGAATAACTGAGTATTATATATTTATTATTATTATATATATATAAGAGAGAGAGAGAGAGAGAGAGAGAGAGAGAGAGAGATTTAACACAGTTACATGACCTTTTGGGAGCACAGTTATTTCTCCCTTTTCTATCCCCCTTCGCTAGTGTAGCCAACAACAATCTCAGTGACTAATTAATCATCACCACCAGTTTATTTAATACGAATCTTTATACGAAACCTTTTTAAATGATCCCATTTCTTTTTTAAAAGTTTTGATGGAATGAAAATGAGCATTCTTGAAGGGATCCTTAACTGATTTTGCGTTCAATATTTATCCCTTGTGGAAAAATCAGTAGGCAGGACATGCTCGAATGTAATCCTCTCATAGCAGAGGAGAACCCTGAAGATCCGGATTAGCTCTTCAGCAACCCATGCTTGTCGACTATCGACTGACTGGATTGGGTGGTCAGACTCGGTGACTTGGTTGATGTTTAAAGCGGCACTCAGCAATATTCCAACTATATGACGGCGGTCAGTAAATATTCGAGTCTGGACCAGACAATCTAGTGATTGACATCATGAGTGTAATGAGTTGCGCTATTACATAATATTGTTAGGATATCAATTTGGTCAAACCGTGAAGAACTTACTAAAAAAGTCTGAAGCTGAAGGTCAAGACCCATATTTTGGACTCCGGTCATACAGGACAACACCTGTTGATAGGGACCTACAATCACCTGCAAAACTCTTGAACCACAGATATTACCGTACTCAGCTTCCAACAACTGGCACACTGCAGAGAGCACAGTCTGATGAAGATAAGGTCGAGAGACTTCAAAAGCGTCAGAATAACCAGAAAGTCACTATGACGCTCATGCAGGAAATCTATCAAAACTGAATCCTGGACGAGATGTAGTCATGTTTGAAAATAACTCGAAAAGCTGGGTCAACGCCAAAGTGGTTAAATCCCTGTCAGAGCCGAGATCATACCAACTACTAACATCAAATGGAAACCTGCTTCGGCGGAACAGAATTCCAACTGGATAGAGGGGAAGATCTTGTGTTTCTATTTTATGTGTTTAGTAGGTAACAAATCTAAATAAGTAATCTTTATTTAAATGTACCACTTTCGGTAGTTCCTTGTATCCCTGGTACATATGTGTAAAAAGTCGTTAAATATTTGTAACATGAGAATTTAGGATTTTTAAAATTAAAAATTGTCTTAAAATTTATATAGTGCATGTGTACACTGTTCAGATGAGAAGCTAGTAGGGTGTTTGATAAGGGAAATACAGTGGTAACTTTAATAATCTTTTTGAACCATTTTGGTATATACGTTATTATCATGGATGTCCATCTCGTATTAGGCGTTGTAATTCCCTGTGCAGAGTGTGTCCCTTTGGCGTGTCAAAAACAGGATCGTGTGTTCGAATAACAGATTTGTCCTGGTTATGTTTCTAGGTTTGGGGGCACTAAATTCATTCTCGTTGGTTTCACTGAAGAGGTAAACATCTGACAACTGCAACAGTTCGGATATTTCCCCCTGCATCACGCTGTCACATGACCAAATTGAAATACTGCTTCTCAGTTACAAAGCTGTAAATATTATACTATGTGATACAACGAGTACGTTTCCCGGCAGGATTAAGCCAGGCGGGGTCACATACGGATAAAATTGCAAACATGAAAGGTCAGGTAGGTACTTCTTTCAGTGTTTACAAACAAACATGGCGTTGCCCTTGTTCATCGGAGATCGAGTCTGAAATGACCATCGGGAACCTGGAGAAACTACTGGGATAATTGTTATTATTTTAAAAACAAAAGTACACCTCTGCAGCTTGGGTTTTTTGCCCCAATTTAGGACAGTTGGATTTGGCCGAATTATGGTACCTTGTTTAATTTGTCGCAGTGTGTACATCTGACACTATGACAGGACAGGAAGACTTAAAAAGTCTCACGGACTAGGGTTAGAGTAACTTTGATAACGGGCGTGTACACATATCAAGCGGACCGATATATTGCCGTGTTGGCAATTGTTATTTTGCCAGTATGTATTTTCGCCACTGTCTAAGAAACAGGTTTGAATTGGAACTATTTTGACTGCTGTCGCTGCCTGACTGACACATCACTGACCTTCTGACGTAAAATATATTAATGCGCACATTCCTTGGAAGTTTCTGTTTTTTCGGGGACGGAAATTAAGAACGACGTTACATGATGAAGTGGTCCCGCTTGTGCGTTTTGGGAAGGTAAATTTTCTGTAATAGGACCAGACACAATGTATTTACTATTCCGAAACACACTCGCGTGATAACCTCTATGCATTCACTCAGTTCAAAGGCAGCATGCTATTGTAACGATTTTAGCAGTTGCTTTGTCTTCGCAAGCGGTCGGTCGGGTAGCCTAGTGGTTAAAGCGTTCGCTCGTCACGCCGAAGACCCGGGTTCGAGTCCCGACATGGGTACAATGTGTGAAGCCCATTTCTGGTGTCCCCCGCCGTGACATTGCTCGAATATTGCTAAAAGCGGCGTTAAACCATACTCATTCACTTGTCTTCGCAAGTGATCGGAAACCGAACGATCAACGACTAGCATTCCGACAGGATCGGGTGTCATCGGCCAAGAGTCGTAGACACTGATTGGCTAGGCTGAAGAGCAAAGAAAGCCAGTCCCTGATTGGATATACAAGCTGTCGTTTCTGCATAAAAATCACACTTCATGACTTAGTAGGCGGCCATTGAGAAGACAGGTTAGCGTGGCTGGAAGGTTACTGGAGAGGGGACGTTAGGTTCTTAGGGTTTGTTGGTTGCTTAAGGTAGCGTATTTGGTCATTGCTCACTTGTAGACATGTTATTGAAATGTTGTAGGATGTAAATTGTCGCATTATTATTTTGCTGTCATCTCGAGTAGCTGTCGGGGAAATACTTGACCTATCATTCTATTTAACACGTGCTAGGTAAGATAGATCTTTTTCAACCCGCCATTCCTATATTATTGAGTCAGAGCAGTGTTTGTTATATCATAGCTTGTTTTTGTAAGAGAATGTTATTTCAATACACTATATGTAAATCTGCTCCGATGTTGTACTTTAGTTCTCTGAGTCAAGCTGCTTTGAGCAATGGATTCGGACAGCCCGTAATTAGGGTTTAATTCAAGAACCTATTTCTATTTATGTACGAGCGTTGAGGTCGTTCAGGACTCGCGCTACGTTACACCATATTAAGTCAAACAGCTACATGGACATCTGATACCAGAAAACGTTGAATTCTGAATCAGTAAGCTGGATTCATACACAGAATGTTAACAATTCGAAAAAAATAGTATAAATGACCTTTCACTTTTTTTCAAAAATGTAACGGTGAATTGGAAATTTGTCCAAGCAATACTGTTATTTTGAAGTGATTAAATTACAAGGTAATTACTTGCTGCAAGATACAACTATCGGCAATACCTTTATCAATTTGCCAGAAAGAACTTACATCAAATACAAGAGAACTGCGCACCAAAAAACAAGGAACAGTAATACTAGTTCTGACAGCACTGTCACAATGATAAGCGTTAATTCTAGCTCAGCAGTGGCAATATAAGTACCAGTACCAGACTGACACATCAGAATGAATTGCGTTTAATACATACATTTATACAACGTTAACACAATGGTTATTCAACGGATACATATCAAGGTGAAGTGATGGAGGGGCGGAGGGGGTGCTTATACTAGTCCGGACTGATGCCGATTTATAGTGCTACTCAACTGAGATACCATGCCGCAGTTTAACATGAATACCCCACTCAGACACAGTATACTGACTCCTAGCCGACTAGTCATTGTTTTATCGCCTTAATGCCGAGCGCTAGACGGGGTAACAACAAGTACCATCTTTTAACGTCTTTTAGTATGATGCGGCCGGGGATTGAGCCCCGAACCTTTCGCTCTACGGGCGGACGCTCTACCACTAGACCGCGGTCCGTCACATATTAAGAAAGTAATGGATGGAAATGAGCAATTATCAATGAGAAACTTAAGAGGAGCTTCAGGGGCTATTTTTCAGTAAGTGTGTAAATACTGGCTAATTGATAAAGAATTACAGATATATGACAGATTGAATTTGGTTCGAAACCAGTACACCAATACAATTTAACACAAGGATGTTTTCAGAAATAGGTGTCCGACACTGCAACAGTATATGTGTCCACAACATATTCCGACACTTCAAACTTGCCACCTACTTGCACACAAACCGGGGCTAGAAAGGACAAGGGTTCTAACAGCTGTTTCCGCATGTGTTCACTTGAGTCCGATTGAGGTTATTGTGACTGACCACTCTTCAGTGGTAAACTACAACCGAGTCATTGCTGGAGCATTGTTGTCTTGCGCATCACAAGGATCGGCTGTTGTCTTGCTTCCTGTCATGTCCACCTGCTTGCCGACCGCATGGGTGAATTCGATTAGATACTCAGGGTAAGCTTGATCATCCTTGAAGATGACATAGGCTTTGATGTTCTCAAAGTCGTTGACAGCAGAATCATATGGAGTGGTTGTGCCTGCTCTCACTGGCAGATACTTCTTAGTTGGCTTCCCCTCTACTGGAATGCGCGTCAGTACCTTCGCCTGATACACGTATTTCAATCCTTTGGAATCTGGAGGCGAGTATGTGTCTCTGGACGAAAAGGATGGGTCGACAGAAAAGTAGGTCCCTTCACCAAATCTGTTGGCTAAACAATGAATTGTTTTTAATAAAATATATCAACATCGACGAGAAGTAGTGAGCATGAGTGAGTGAGTGAATGATTTTGATTTAATGCCGCCGTGAAACATATTTAATTTTTGAACGACCTGTTAGCTTCATGAATGCAGGCCTTAGACATTTAACTTTGGTGAAACCCAATCACGTTTGTGGTTCTGACAAACTTAGAAACATAATGAGTGCAAATTCATATTCTACTATTCTGAAGGTCCGATCTCTTTATTACTTTGTTGCAAGGTGTTTTTCTGAATAGAAATGGACTGATAGTTTTGAATATAAATATATGTTTTAAATATAAATATTGGGATATGGGATATTTTTACCCACGAAATCAGGAACATTTCCAAGGAGCTTTCGTATGATTTGTACCCAGATGTTCAGTGTGACTGATCGAAAGTGCCACAAAATACACAGACGAATCAACCCCAATCTATCTGTAGTCGTACACGCCACATGGAATGGATGTGCTCGAGTAGGTAATTTCTGTAGTAGACCTATGCATCACTGAAGGATTCGAACCGAATTTGATGCCTGTAATGATCTTGTTTGCTTTCCTTATTATTTATGAATATCAACAAAGTTAGAATTTCATGCGTGACCTGAGAGAAATCAAAACAAATACACCTAAGTCAACTTTGTATGACACGTGTAACGTACGGATTTAGTATCTCACCATCGTGTGTGTAAAAGATCATGATAACATGCCGACGGAACTCACCATTTATGCCACTGTAACTACTGTCAAATCCATTTGTGTTTATGCTTTCAACTGAGCCCTGACTGGTTCCATGCCAGAGTATGCGCTCATTGACTTTGTCCAAGCCATTTTGTAGGGAAAGTCGTTCCTCTTCTGCCTTATACTTCCTGTGTAGTAGCCTGTTCTCAATCCGATATACCTGAAGAAGATTATCCAAGAAGTATCAGTCTCAGTGAGTGAGTATGGTTTTACGCCGCATTTAGCAATATTCCAGCAATATCACGGCGGGGGACACCAGAAATGGGCTTCACACATTGTACCCATGTCGGGAATCAAACACCGGTCTTCGGCGTGACGAGCGAACGCTTTAACCACTAGGCTACCCGACCGCCCCTATGAGTCTCATGACATATACTTATTATTACATTGAAGGACTCATATCCCCGGCCAATATGACATGTCTGGTTGTGTGCAAGGCACGAAATAGTGTACGGTTTTTCCGCCAATTTTAGTCTAAGTCAAAGTCGTTGCCATGGAAACTCGAAACATATATTCAATTAAAATCCCAAACTATCAAAAGGCACCAGTTTACCACTAGACATATTGTACGGTTTTCAAGATCTGCTCCGGAAATGAGCTCTACTGTTATTTTCAGTCAAAGTCAAAGTCGTTGCCATGGAAACTAGATAGAATATATTTTAAAAAAAATCCCAATCAATCAAAAGACACCAGTACAAAACTGGTCCTACCTTTGTACCAAGTTTAGTTAAGATATCTCCCATGACTCTTTAGTTCTGCTCCGGAAAAGAAAGTTGACGGACGGACGGACAGCACCCATTCCTATACCCCCTTCCACTTCGTGGCGGGGTATAATAATGTATTTCCGAAAACATTACGTACAATCTGGCTGAGGTACAGCTGAAGAGTATGTGGGCAAGTGTACTGGGCATAGCGCCTCTTTGAACAGTATGGAAGTCATGTATTAACATGGGAGCGAAGTGGTCCAGGGTTTAGACACGTAGACGCTGACCACGGTGGGATACTGAGAGACCAAGACTAGACCAAGATTTGAACACTCGCTCACACGATACCGACACCCAAAACGACCAGGACTCTGCACATCGATATCTGTGCCTTATCTGACTGAATTACATTGGTTTAATGAACTGTGATCACTACTCAATTTGAACTTTAATTTCGACATATGAAGTAGTGTACATGGTTGAAATGGACCATATTGCTGTTGCAGACTCACTTCTTTTATGTGAAATTTCTCACTTTTGGACTGCCTCTGAGTTTCAAAGCGAGTAATGACGTTTTTGAATTCTTCCCCATCTCTGTCCACAGGGACGCAGTCCGTGACTCCTTGCTGCCGAAGCGACCAGTTGAGTGGAATGTCATCATACATCACGGAGACTGAAGAGATAAAATGTTCTAATGCATTCAATCATACACGTGGGGCTCCAGGTTAGCATAAATGTAGGTGCTCCAGAGCTCTGTTCCTTGTCATATGAGGCGAGTGAGTGAGTGAGTTGGGTTAAACGCCGCTTTTAACAGTATTCAGTATGTTAGGTTTCTTGCACAGCTACACAATGGACTGCGGGTCAGACGACAGGGCCAACTGTGCCACCTCAGGAGCAGAACTTAAAGAGGTGAATGAGTGAGTTGGGTTTAACGCCGCTTTTAACAGTATTCCAGTTATATCACGGCGTGTCAGCTTAATGTTTGAGGAAAGCCCGAAGTGATGCAGGTTTCAGACGTTTACCACTTCGGTGAAACCCACGAGCACGGGTATGGCGCTGACAAACCTAGAAACATAATCGGGGCGAACCGGGAATCGAACTCACAATCATAGGTTTCTGGTGTGCCTAAGGGACGCAACTCTGCACAGCGAATCGCGGCGCCTTAGACGACTGGGCCACCCGTGCCCCCAAAATATGTGCCAGTAAATAAGGAGGTGTGAGAACTCCATATAAAGGTCGTAGCATGGAATAGCCTCGCAACATCGCGGCGTTAAAATAACAACAGCAACAACAACACATACACAGTGTAAAGAAATGAATCTGGACCGTACAATCAGTCGTTAACATCATGCACATCGACCCACGCAATTGGGAAACGATGACATGTACATGTGTAGTTAACCCACTTAGTCGTCTTTTACGACAAGCTGGGGTTACCAGGGTTTATATTTTATACTGAAAATGCAACGAAAGAACAGATATCTTAACACAGAGTTTCATACAAGGAGGCATTTATAACAGGAGCCTACTTTTGTACCGCTTCTTATGCAGCTGTGTACATAACGGCCAAAAATAATTATCACCAAACTCACCTCTTCTCTGTAATTGTATCTCTCGTTTATCTGGATGCTGGCATATCGAAACCTTCCCTTCTTTGATCTTCAGCCTGTAGAGCCTATTGGACTGATCCGTAAACAATGTGTATCTTTTGTTGTGTTGATAAGCATCCTCAACATAGCCACTGATTGAGTCCAGATCGAGATTGTGCTCATCCTTCGCCGAACTCCATCTAGCGCTGTGACATGTTCTCAGAAACCTCTTGATGTCAACCTTCGCCTTGGCTATGTCTACGTCAATGCCCAACAGTATCAGCTTGCATCCGATCACCTTCAAGCCCACAGTGTGATTCCTTGCAAGATGTTGAAGATCGTCCATCTCAAACATTGAATACCAAAATAACTCGTGGACATATCTACCTCCAATAAGTAAGCATTATAACCAAGTTAATCATTAAAATATTTTGTATTTAGAAACATTTGGACGACAGTTGAGGAAATGAACTCACCCTCTCTTTGGACATTGCAAAAACCAGCCTGTTGTTTTCAACCACCTCACTGCGTACGTTAGAATCGACAAAGCTTCGGATTTGTCCAGCAAGATACTGCACCTTTGACGTTTCAGTAGATGATACGTAAAGATCATATACTTGCTTTTGACCCGTGGCTGTTATAAACAAATATGAGGATTGTTTGTCAATGGTGTCAATGTTCACATTCAGCTGTCACAGAACCCGACCACTCGATTCATACTCTTACGACTGAACGATAGTCCCGGCTGATGTGCCATTTGTTCTTTGGGTCTGTTTAGTTTTGAAGTGTACATTGTACCGAGACCTGACATTTCCTTGAACTGACACATTACAAAATCTATATATTTACATCATATCACCTTTCACCTTAAGGCGGGAATACACAAATCAACGACCCGGTACAGAGTAGTGCTCTTGGAATTTTTTGCGACATCGTGTGCCCAGGTTCTTGTGACATGATTGTGTGCCAATATCATTCGACATGGCACGTTCTTTATAATAGTAATCACTGGTTTGTATGGCCAAGGCTCGAATATGTTATAGCAAGAGGATTCTTGACTGAAGTCAATCAAAAGAGTGAGTGAGTGGGTGTGGTTTTACGCCGTGTTTAGCAATATTCCAGCATTATCACGGCGGGGACACCATAAATCGGCTTCACACATTTCACCCATGTGGGGAATCGAACCCTGGCGTCAATAAAAAAAAATACAGAAAAACATATATAACTGAAATAAAATAACCACTATTTTTTCATTTGTTTATTTTAAGGAATTAATGAATTTATATTAATTGAATGATGAAAAAGGTCTTACCCTCGAGTGATTGAGTGAGTGAGTTGGGTTTAACGCCGCTTTTAACAGTATTCCAGTTATATCACGGCGTGTCAGCTTAATGTGGGAGGAAAGCCCGAAGTGATGAAGGTCTCAGACGTTTACCACTTCGGTGAAACCCACGATCACGGGTATGGTGCTGACAAACCTAGAAACATAATCGGGGCGAACCGGGATTCGAACCCACAATCATAGGTTTCTGGCTTGCCCAAGGGACGCAACTCTGCACAGCGAATCGCGGCGCCTTAGACGACTGGGCCACCCGTTCCCCCTCTTACCCTCGAGACGTTTATTGTGTCTCTCCTGAATGTCCTGCAACGTGGTGACGATTCGATCAAAATCTTCGTCACGAAGCACTATCAGCCTGATATCGGTGATGCGATCTTTCTTGAAGTGAACGGCAGCTCGGTATTGTTCTATGGCATCATACAAGAGTTCCGCCAGTTGTTCGGGGGAAAGACGCTCAGAACCTGATCAAAACGAACGTAAATATATTGAGTAACTGTTAGCCAGGGAAGCATCTTCTTTATGCGATCACTGGGTGTTAAAGGCAAATAGTGATGAAAATTATGTGAATTAACCATTGAAAACCAGAATGGGTAAGCATGTCTTGTTCTAGAGATACCAGTATTCCAGTTGGTACCACTTTTAGTGAAACCCGCGACGATTCGGGGTAGAATTGGTCTTCAGCAACCCATGCTTGCCGTAAAACGCGACTATGCTTGTCGTGATCCAGTGATTGACAACATGAGCATTGATCATCGCCATTAAGATTCGATGACATGCATCAACCAAGTCATCAAGTCTGACAACCTGATCCCTATAGTCACCTGACTCATGAAGAAGGTCTTCAGCAACCCATGCTTGCTGTAACCTGTGACGATCCGGGGTAGAATAGGTCTTCAGCAACCCATGCTTGCCATTACCCGTGACGATCAGGGGTAGAATAGGTCTTCAGCAACCAATGCTTGCCGTAACCCGTGACGATCGGGGGTAGAATAGGTCTTCAGCAACCCATGCTTGCTGTAACCCGTGAAGATCCGGGGTAGAATAGGTCTTCAGCAACCAATGCTTGCCGTAACCCGTGACGATCGGGGTAGAATAGGTCTTCAGCAACCCATACTTGCTGTAACCCGTGACGATCCGGGATAGAATAGGTCTTCAGCAACCAATGCTTGCCGTAACCCGTGACGATCGGGGGTAGAATAGGTCTTCAGCAACCCATGCTTGCCGTAACCCGTGAAGATCCGGGGTAGAATAGGTCTTCAGCAACCAATGCTTGCCGTAACCCGTGACGATCCGGGGTAGAATAGGTCTTCAGCAACCCATACTTGCCGTAACCTGTGACGATCCGGGATAGAATAGGTCTTCAGCAACCAATGCTTGCCGTTACCTGTGACGATCTGGGGTAGAATAGGTCTTCAGCAAACCATGCTTGCCGTAACCCATGAAGATCCGGGGTAGAATAGGTCTTCAGCAACCCATGCTTGCCGAAACCCGTGACGATCAGGGGTAGAATAGGTCTTCAGGAACCTATACTTGCCGTAACCCGTGACGATCCGGGATAGAATAGGTCTTCAGCAACCCATGCTTGCCGTTACCCGTGACGATCCGGGGTAGAATAGGTCTTCAGCAACCAATGCTTGTCGTAACCTGTGACGATCGGGGTAGAATAGGTCTTCAGCAACCCATGCTTGCCGTAACCCGTGAAGATCCGGGTTAGAATAGGTCTTCAGCAAACCATGCTTGCCGTAACCCGTGACGATCAGGTTGGATTAGGTCTTCAGCAACCCATGCTTGTCGTAACCTGTAAAGATCCGGGGTAGAATAGGTCTTTTAGCAACCCATACTTGCCGTAACCCGTGATGATCAGGGGTAGAATAGGTCTTCAGCAACCCATGCTTGCCCTAAAAGGCGACTATGCTTGTCGTAAGAGGCAACTAACGGGATCGGGTGGTTAGACTCGCTGACTTGTTTAATGCATGTCATCGTATCCAAATTGCGTAAACCGTTGCTCATGATATCAATCACTAGACAGTCTGGTCTAGACTCGATTATGTACAGACCGCTGGAAAATATCTGAGTGCGGAGTAACAAACAAACAAACACTATCGATCGGATAGAAACAAGATTAATCAGATTAACGATCATTGCCATAGAGGAATGTCTATTGAATATGAATAGAAGTACATTACAATTGAGGACCTAATCGCTGTCCAGAACACCCGTGTTTTGCTGTATTTCAAAGAATGAAACTGTATTAAGAGAATTACGAGTTTTAGTCTTTCTTTCATTATTTGTTGTGTAACGCCGAACTCAGAGATATCCCAGTTGTATGACGTCGGTCTGTAAATGCTCGAGTCTGGGCCAGGCAATCCAGTGATTGACATTATGAGCATTGATCCACGCAACTGGGATACGAAGCCTGAGCAGCCGAGCCGTTATTCGTCTCTTGCGAAAAGCATATGTTTGCTAGGACCTATTTTCGTACCCTGAATCCATTGCACTGAACATACTTGCAAACCTTTCATGCGACAATGAAATGGGTTCGTCATCTCTTCAGCATTATTGAATCACAATCGGAACACCTTCAAAGCAAACCTTTTTGCAGGGAAGTGTGAACTGGGAATTATCGTTACAAATATACAAAATATTTCACATACCAACGCCAAGACAAGGAAGGGCCACAGAAGCTGGTTTGAACTTTTCCCCAGATACTTTGAGGCATGAAAGTATCGCTGCCAGCCAATCTGTTCCGTTCTTCCCTTTAAACACGCTGGTGCAAAGATGTACTATACAAGTCCAAGGTCTGCACGACTTGCAAAAAGATAATCCAGACTTTTGCAGAGCTGGAACTATCAAACAGGAAAGTATGCTAAAGTGCAAGAATAGTTTATGTATATGAGAACATTTGGGACAACATTATTCCTTGACAGATATATTGGTTGGTTGGTTTGTTGTTTAACGCCGCACTCAGCAATATTCGAGCTAAATGACGGCGGTCGGTACATAATCGAGTCTGGACCAGACTATCCAGTGATTGATATCATAAGCATCGATCCCCTGCAAATGGGATCGATGACATGCATCAAACAAGTCAGCGAGCCTGATCGCCCGATCACTCTTACGATCGCCTCTTATGACAAGCATAGTCTCCTTTTACGGAAAGCATGGGTTGCTGAAGACCTATTCTACCCTGGATCTTCACCCGTCGGTCAGATATATACTGTTTACGGTAGTTGTGTGATTGTGAGATGATCCCGTTTACGTCTGTGTATGTTATTTCTGTTGTTGGTGTTAGTTATAATTGTGTTACAATCATTTACTTCAGCGTCTTTAGTTCTGTGTATGCTGTATCTGTTATATGGCATGGTAAAGGTTTCAGATAATTCAACACAGCCGCTCTTTTATAAAGTTAATCTTGAATCCACTTTACTTTAAACTTCAGCATGAAACGTTGTGAACAGATATCTCCAAAAACATAAGGAACTCACGATTTTTTCTGAAATCCTTCTTGAATGGCTCTCCAAAGCGTTCTACCAGTGCTGTTGAAAGGGTTTCTGAAACATAAAAGGTCAGCTGACACATAACTGACATCCGGGACATCTGGGTGATGTCATCTTCAATTATAGCAACAATGCACCTAATGACGACATATATCCATTGGCCCCTTTTCAGACAATAAAACAATGGAACAATTGGACAAACTAGCCAATCAGCAAGAAGCACAAGAAACAATGCTCAGAGAGAAAAAAATCCTGATGTGGATTAGATGGTTATCTGTGTGTCCTAGGTTATTGTATGTCATCATGCTTCTACGGTGTGGACTGTCGCTCATGCTGTCAACCATTAGGTTGCTTCACCGAGACGTGAATTATTTACAGGCCGCGGTGATGTAGCTTGAATGTTACTGACTGCGGCGCTAAACAACATCCACTGACTAGGGATTTACAGACAGATTGTGATTGACGATAAATATGCGTATAATGACATTCTGGTACGAGCAGACACAAGCGGATTGTGTGTGACGTGCCCTAATAGGGTAGGTCGTTGTTCATGATTTCGGTCAGTGGTTTGGCTGATCCAGGTTCTATTCTGCACATGCTGCAGTGATGTCATCGATATATGCAGACCGCGGAGGTAACTTAACGAAACAGAACTAAGACACACAATCACGCACCTTTCGATCATCTTTCAATCAGTATAGGTGCTGGGGACCAAATCTAATTGTCAAAAGACCAAATTCTATATACTCCTAAAGACACTAAACTGTTTTGTGACACTGTATCAATAAAGAGAATATGTAGACGACTTCAGTATACTACTTTCCATCCGGGGAATTATCATCTACAAGTTTCAAGTTTTGGAGAGTATACTGTTAATCTTCAAATGAATGCGTCTCCAAATGAATGCGTCTCCAAATGAATGCGACTGGTGGTCCCTATCCCAAAATGCGTCTCAATATGAATGCGACTCCCTCAATTAAACGGCATTGCTTATAAGCGCTGAATTAAGAACTTCCGCAAAAGGAGTATATGGTGTTTCCCCACCCAAAAAACAGATTTATGTGTTTATTCCTTTGACTAGCGTTAAGGCATGGACAAGACAAAGGCTGAAATCTGGTTTGTAAGGATAAGCCTATCCATGCGTGCTGGGTCGTGTATACAGAACAGTATATGGCATGTAGAGTACATGTACCTTACCAGTCAGTGAGAAGTCTTCTGATATACTGTTGACTATCACGTCGGTCTGTTCTTCCAAAATATCCCCTTTTCTGACTGTCAGTCTGATGTCCTCGATGTGAAACGCTGCAACAAAGGCCCATCACGACTTGGAAGATGCTCAAACAAAACTTATTAAACACGAATAATGAATGTGTGATCTTAGTATTAAACACAATTCATTTCGAAATGTTTTACTTGTTTCATAGATTCGATCAGAGATGATTACTTTCTCAACTCTGTTTGATATGACACGTTATGATGTAATACATACCTTCCCGTCTTGCTTGGAATGCCTGGAAGGGATTTAAAGGAATGACATCACAAACCCATACACAAAATATTATTCCGACTCATATTTAAATGAACAACATATCTGGGTTTGCAGCTGTAGCTGAACACATATACTACCCATGACATATTAACATTGCCAATATGAAAGAATCGGGTGATCCTTAACTTCTTTTGGGTAGTATATCTAATGTCAAAACAAAGACCCGAAACAATAGCCGGTGTCTTAAACAGAATCCCAGGCCATGACGTTTCATAATTTGTGGATGGTATGTACTATAGTGAGCATGGACTATATACACACAAGACTTTGCATGTCATTCATATACACAACCTCGAATAAGTACAAAATATACAAAAACAATCGTGCATGTGAATTCAGTTATACAAGAGCCAGCATGTACAGTATATGAACGAGTTTGTACTCTAAATAAGCGCTAACGTGCAAAGTTTAACCAAGGGTCCAACCAAATTTTTTTCCTGGGGCGAGCCTGGGATTTTATCTCAAACAATAAATTGTCTGCGAAAGTTCTTGAATTTTTTTATTATGCTTCAGACTGTGAAACAGAAAATGACATTGGTGCAAAGTGTTTTTCTAAAATATAAAACCAGGTTTATAGTTTTAAGCAAATAAATATCTGATTTTGTCGCAGTAGCTGAAAACTATCTAATCTCGATACAAAATCCCAGACCTCTCCCAGAACATCAAATGGTCAATCTGTATTAGGACTGTGGTGTACCTTCTGTACATCGGGGTTCCCGGGGTGTAGTATCACATATACATCAACCTTCTGTCTTTGTATAAACTGCTTCACCGTGTCCATCATCAAGTCTGCCACAAGGTCACGTGGATACCCGAGATTGCCGCAGCCCAAAGCAGGGAGTGCAACAGACGTTGGAAGTGGTTTAATCCTTGATATTTTTTCCAGGCATTCACTGAGTATACATTGGTACATCTGAAATGTGAACAAACAATGCGAAAAAAGGTAAGTATCCTACTCGCATTAGATTTTATCAGGTGAACAATTCACTTGCCTGTGCAGGATACACTCACCTGTTCGTGAACACATGATATCATCACTATTTGAAAGTGATTCATAAACAGTCGGAATCTTTCAGTACATATTTATTTAAAGGTTTCTCGCGATCTGCGTATTTCCAGATTTACACTTACGGTTCCAAATGTATAATGGCTATAACTGTGACAACACTTCCACTGCTTGGTGACCCGTAGCTGATGTTTCTTAGATCTGTTATTGAGCTTTATTTCAAAGAGCGTCATACGACACTTGCTCCGAAGTTGTTAAATCATATGACAAGCTAACAACATTCAAGGCCTCAGAAAAGCTTTCAAAGGACACCTCCAAATTTGAAACATCAGTGACAATATGATGTCCGATGCAATTTTCTATTTTGATTTGTACCATGTTTTTCATGTTGTTCGGGTTAAGTCTACTCCTACGTGTGTGTGTGTGTGTGTGTGTGTGTGTGTGTGTGTGTGTGTGTGTGTGTGTGTGTGTGTGTGTGTGTGTGTGTGTGTGTGTGTGTGTGTGAAAGGAAGGGGCGGGGGGGGGGGGGGGGAGGGGGTGGGCAGGTAAGAAGCTCTCCAGAGCAACCTTTGCCACTCGTAAGAGGCGACGTAATGAATTCAGTGGTCAGGAACGGTGACTTGGATTATAGCATGTCATCGCACCGAGGATCGTTGGTTATAATACCAATTACTTATTTACAGACTCGATTATTTACAGTAAATGACAGCAAACAAATACTAACAAAATTATTTCACACCAACCTCTTTAGCTTTTGTTTCTTGTCTTTGGTTCCAGTATTGCAAGGCCACAAAGAGGACATTGTTGCACATGAGACGATAGGGTGGCGTCACCGTCATATGACACTCCTTCATTTCGTTAACCCGGAAGTCTTTCTTACAATCCTCCTGAAGTTCCGGTCCAGCAGCTTCAGACAGAGCCTTTGCCACCACGCCATAACTCAGGTTCAACGTTTTGGAGACTGGACAAACTAGCACATCCACCTTAAACTGAAAGAGGTGAGGTGAAATGGGTTTTAAAGTCGCGTTTAAGATTATTATTACATAGCGACAGGTACAAACGTTTTTGTGTTTGCATGTACTTGTCTGGACTCGTGTCGTCATGGACACTCAGACACCATGCCTCGGGTGACCAGTGACCATGACATCCAGTGACCATGACATCCAGTGACCATGACATCCAGTGACCATGACATCCAGTTGTCTAGTCCTCCCTATAGCCCCATAATGCCAAGCGCAGCAGGGTAACAACAAGTATTTTCATAGACGCCGTCTGGGGATGGGGCCACTGGCATTCTGCTCTCAGGACATACGCTCTAACCACTCAACCATACAAGCACTGACAGAAAACAACGTGCCTGTGAGGAATGCTGTGTTCAGGAAGCCCCTTGTTGACAAAACGTTTCTGGACATTCTGATTAATGCAATTAAATTACTTTTAGCAGAAAATAAGAAAGTGTACAATTGAATTAGAATTTGACCAAACACTTTAACCGTTATCAAAACGTTACATGGCTAGAACCAATGGAGGACACACTGCAAACCGATGGTACAAAACCATGTCACTGAGTCAAATACATCACTATCGAATAACCATTTCTTGTTTGTTTTATTCGTAATCATTAACAAAAGTTGGTTTATACTCTCTTCCCCGACAGTTTACGTTTATCATACAAGACATTCGAATGGATATGGTGGTCAGGCTAATACCAATCACTGAATTGAGTCTTATAGCTGACACATCCAACCCAAACTATAGCAGTCAATTTCTTTCATCAAATGACTTTCAGTTGTAGACACAGAAGTTACCTCTAAAGCCTCAAGCGTGCCCTGCTTAATGATGATCCTCCCCTGTTCTGAAAAACAGAAACGCCATGTGAAGAAAATACAACAATTTCTGAAGCATCTTCTACTGAAGAGACATATAAGGTTTACTCTTTTCTTGAAAATTCAAGATAACATTTTGAAGTTAGTATCTTGAATACATATCAATATTTTAAACATGTATCTTGAATTTTTGACAAATTACCTTGAATTTCGGCAAAGTGCCTTGAAACGCCAACGTGTTACGTTATTTTTAGAGAAAGAACAAAATACAATGTATATATGTCCACAGACGTGAGAGACATTGTCACTTTCATATAAATATAACTGATGATGACTATGGAGTAGACAAGCTGATAAACACATTTCATGACCATTGTTCCAATTCCCTTGAAGCCATCACTAGTCGTAGATAGCGACCTAATGGACCAGGTGGTCAGGCTTGTACCCCTATGGCGTGGATCGGGGGGCGTCAAACAATAAACAAACGAGACCATTTTACCTTCGTTGACATGACATGGGGCCACTTTGATGTTTTCTCCATGTGCAGTTTCCTCCAAAAATGCTTGAAATTGATCGGACCTTGAAATATTTTCGATGCCAGGTTTTCGGATTTCAAGCCTTTCGGTGTACACTGACTTCTCTTGATGGGTGAGGGAATCATCCTGACTTGCAGCACCGCCACCACCATTGACCTAGAGAAGAAGCCACACAGAATATGGTAAAGTTTTGTAATGGATTAGGTGAGGTTCGTGGGTTGGCAGGGTGGTTGCTGAAATTTGGATATTAGGTGAGTGAGTGAGTGAGTTGGATTTTACGCCGCTTTTAGCAATATTCCAACAATATCACGGCGGGGGACACCAGAAGTGGGCTTCACACATTGTACCCATGTCTGGAATCGAACCCGGGTCTTCGGCGTGACGAGCGAACGCTTTAACCACTAGGCTACCCGACCGCCCCTGGGTATTAGGGATTGGATGAGTGGATGGTTTCCACAGTAAGAAAATAAATATAGTTACTCGCTCATTTGTTTTATAATATTACAACGTGGGGGCCGTCCCCAGTAGCTTATGATGGTCATTAAAGACTACTCAATAGCTGGAGTTGATTGATTGGTTAATTTCTTGTCATAGTTGGTCATAATATCAATCACTGGTTTGTCTGATTCAGTCTTTACAACTTACAGACCATCGTGATATAACTGAAATATTACCGCGTGAGGATAAATCAACAAATAAATATGTAAAACAAAATAATGAATAGTTGGTTTTGTTACCTGATCCTCGTCTGAGTCGCTAAATCCACCTGCACAAAAAAATATTGAGTTATTTTTCATTTAAAAAAGAAAAACAACTTCATTCCCTACATATAGAGAATCTCACCCGAGTGTCTTTTGATATCAAATATATCAACACGAGTTGATAAAAGTGGAAACATTCCGAGGCTTGCCGAGGATTTTTGCCACTTTTATCAACGAGTTCATCAAACATCATTCTTTCAACTTTTTCAATTTGTAGACAGTAATTAGCAGTGTCTTCAGTGTAAAAAGTACTGCAAACTGCTTCAGTAGCAGAGCCATTAGTGATGTCATTTGATTATGACGTCATGGTAACCGGTGACGTCACAATGGTCTGCAAAGCATTGTGATGTAATTTCATTGCAGCGATATCTACATTGTATATATCGCTTGATCTCATCCAAGCGATATCTCCTTTGGGGGCAAGTTTTGGATGATAAATGTTAATTCATATTTGCATCTTCCAAATGTTCATACATAACGCAGCACATATGAAAACACATTTGCCACTACAACTAACACATCTTCTGAGTGAGTATGATTTGAGGGCGCTTTTATCTATATTCCAGTAACATCAGGGAGAGGAGCACCAAGATGAAGCTTCCCGTATTGTACTCAGGGGGGAGTAGATGCCAGACTTCAAAGTGTCGAGCGAACGCTTCAACTACTAGACTACCCAACAGCCCTTTTTTGTCCATTTGCAGATTCCAAACACGTGCATAATTAGACAATGGGATGGTACCTCGGGTGGATATTCAGCGGTAGATAATATCCCAGTCCTCTGTCCTACTCTTTAGAGCCGGGGCAACAACCAAGATGAAACACCTGGCTGGTTGTATCAAGCTATCAACTGCCGGTTTCCTTGGACCAGACTAGCTAGAATACGACTGACTACAGTGTAATACATACACACATTAAGTGTTGACACGATCCAAACGATTATCTTCACACTCTATTATCTTATTTAAGATATTAATAGAAATGTATTTATTTATAATGCGCTCGATTCCACACACAACATGCTCATAGCGCGGCTACGTTATCATCCGCGACAATGGATCAATGGGTTCTCTTCTCGAACTTCATTCTCAGCTCCCTGGGGAGAATACAAGCCGAGCTGCCTATTGGGCCTATGGACAGACAACAGTCACATTGTAATTTCGCCGGGTAATCATTCGCTGCTGGATGAACAGGGGCATATGTCAATGGAGACACGACGTATACAAGCGTTTTAGTTTTGGGCATTACCAAAGCCAAAGAAACTCTCATGGGTCAATCGCTATATGACTGAAATAGTGCCGGTGCGATGTTAAATTTTAACTCACTCACTCATGGGTCAAATTTCCACTCCTCGCGCCCATAGTGTCCTGTGCCCTGGTTCGTGTCCTGTGCTCTGTATACAGAACCAGGGGCAGTCGGGTAGCCTAGTGGTTAAAGCGTTCGCTCGTCACGCCGAAGACCCAGGTTCGATTCCCGACATGGGTACAATGTGTGAAGCCCATTTCTGGTGTCCCCCGCCGTGATGTTGCTGGAATATTGCTAAAAGCGGCGTAAAACCATACTCACTCACTCACTATACAGAACCACGTGACACCAGCCAGGACACCATTAAGGAGAGTGCAACATGTACAAATATTTGGAACAGAACCCAGGTTTATTGTCACCTACATCAAACGACGGAACTCTTTCCATAATCATACAAATCTTTGCTAAAAGAAAAAAAACTTTTTACGATTTTCACTGGGCAGTAATCACTAATCAGTAATTAATGAATCACTATCAAATAATGACAATGAACAAACGAATTAACAAATAAGGTACCAACTATTAGATAGTGTTATACACGCACATGTACACTTTACACACATACACACACGGAGAATTCCAAACAATCTCACTATCAGATTTGCGTCGGCGAAGAACACCTGGTTCCTCGTTCAGCTCATTTATCACAACATCCACGATTTCCTTCACCGAGTCGTATTTCTCTAAATGTACTGAGAGGCGAGTACGCCTTGGATTGTCGTCCACTTCCGTATAATCTCTCAACTCTTGAAGTCTGTCACGGAGTGTTACACCAATATGTAAGGCATCAACCTCTTCACTGACGATGGCAGCGTCTATGACATCCCGAACTCGGCAAAACTCGTCATGCTTGCACCGGATCCTGATCCTGTCTTCGTAGACATCGTACACTGCATTAAGGCCATTTCGTAAGAGTATGCTTCCAATATATCTACGAGTTACATCCTTCTTGAAAAGTTTGATGCGCGATGGATCAGTCACTTTAACGTCACGTAACTCAGTTTCCTCCAAGATGGTAGCAATGAATATTTTGGCATCATACACGGAATTCCTTGACCCCTTGACTCGGACCTGAGTCTCGTCGATGTTAATTGTAATGTCGGGATGGATGTCTTTCAGTTGGCCTTCAATGCTGACTCTTTTCAGAAAGCTGATTTCAGTGCGATCCGAGAAAGGAAACGTCTCAACCGCCTCGTTGTCCATATTTGCTGGTGAATGTCTGTGCTACAAGAGAAGACACTGAATGACTGCAAGGGCTGTTTGCTTGTGTGCCGGTAAAGGTTTTTATCCGCAATATTGCAGATATATGACGGTTGTCTGTAAATACTCGAAACCAGACAAGTCAGGCAAATAAAAACGGTACAGGTTTTGGAGACCCAAGCTGGCGACCCCTTCAAAACATCCTCTGTTTTTATTTTCGATATGAATATATATATTTTAAAATTATTTTATGATTTATAGCCAATCGGGGATGAAAAAATGCACTGTTAATCCGCTGTGCAGAGTTGCGTCTCGTGGACACGCCAGAAAACTATGATTGTGGGTTCGATTCCCGGTTTGCCCCGATTATGTTTCTAGGTTTGTCAGCACCATACCCGTGCTCGTGGGTTTCACCGAAGTGGTAAACATCTGAGACCTGCATCACTTCGGGATTTCCTCCCACATTAAGCTGACACGCCGTGATATAACTGGAATACTGTTAAAAGCGGCGTTAAACCCGACTCACACACTCACTCCTTGTTGACTATTCCACTTCTTTTATCGTATTACTTGTGTTGTTCTTACATATATGTTAAATGACTCGTAGCATTCATTCACCTGATGAAGGAGTAAGGATACACAGTAAACCACGTTTATAACTAACACGATTATAACGAACCGACGGATAGAACGAACTTATGTTTGGGTCCCGGCCATTTGCTGTAGACTTGCTGTACATATGCTTATAACGAACTACTGTTATAACCAGCTTATATTAGTGGTGCCTTCGTTATAACCGTACTTTACTGTACTCCGAAACGTTGAGTTCCTAATAATAAAGACGTTGAAATCCATATATCTCCCTCAGATTGGACCTGTGAAAATCCGGGGTAGAATAGGTCTTCAGTAAACCATGCAAGCCGTAAAAGGCGACTATGCTTGTCGTAAAAGGCGACTAACAGGATCGGGTGGTCAGGCTCGCTGACGTGGTTGATGCATGTCATCGGTCCCAATTGCGTGGATCGATGTTCATTATGACAATCACTGGATTGTCTGGTCCAGACTCGATTATTTACAGACCGCCGTCATATAGCTGGAATATTGCTGAGTGCGGCGTTAAACAACAAACAAGCCAACCAAACAACCCTCAGATTAGATCTGCGCCAATCAACTGATAAACACAGGCAATATCATTGTGCAAAGTCCAACATGAGAACAAAGCGAGAGCAGTATTACACCATCTCAGGTCACGCAGCAACACCAACTGCATAGAACGATGCTAATCTATTTAAATAATCAGTATTTTTCCTGTCAGCATCGAACAGGTCATGGCTGTCTTCACCAAACAGATAAGCCAACATCATGTACGATTGTCCTCACACATGAAGCAGTGGCTGACATATATCTGTCATACTGTTGTAAGCAGTGTTAAACTCAGCTCACTACAGGTTGTGGGCTAAGAAACCCCTCCCACAGAACAAGAAGAAAATAATAAGACAATATAGTGACATTGAAAACTTCATTCATTGGTGTGATAACGCATCTTTTCGAAACAAATTGTCTGGTACTGCTACGTATTTAGAAACACAAAAATACATTCTATATCTTCTGCATCTATCCTTCCTTTCTCCTACCTACATTCATATCCATCTTACCTTCTCACATTGCAAAGTATCGCCTACTTATATTTCAAATGTTTGAAAATGTCCCACAACCCCTGGCCACGTGGGGATGTAGGGTCTTCATGTAAATCGTGGCTATGTTCGGTAATAATTTTTTTTAAATGTTCCTGACAGTTTTCACTCTAGGGTAGTCTAGGTCATACTGATTCAAGATGATAACACACACCTAGGGTAAAGTATCTTTATGTAACAATTTAGAAGCTGTAGCATCAAGAGAGGATGGACTTGAGGATTCACAGAACACCACAGATCAACCAACAAACGAGACATCCACAATCAGAGCACACTAAGCAACATGCCAGTCATCGGATCCAGTGGATCTGCACCATCGTCCTGGATCCGGTAATTATTTGACAGACAGAAACCTAGAATCTGATTCTGAAAAATATAACATGGACCTCTGGAAAGTCTGGACGTCCTGTTAACCAAAAATACATTGAAAAAAAGGAGAGGTTTTAAACCAACAGAAGCTGAAACCAAGATTGAAATTACATCTGTTGAAATTACAACCAAATGGCCAAATCAGTTCATATTAAATGTAAATAAGGTCTCCAAACCTGAAATGCCACTTGATTTAACGTTAATTATTTAAACAGTAAATATAACATGCATACTTACAAGAATCGTGTAAACAGGCGCTATCGCTCACGACAGCCCTGGTGACATCCCTTGCAGTACAGCTCTCATCACCTCGTAATGCTGATCACCAGGAAGTCGGGAAGTGTTATCGCGTGACGTAAAACGTCACGTGCTGATATCAGTGTGTATATTGACATAGATTCAAACATATGTATACTCTTCAAAAAAGAAACTTGACATAGATGTAAAACAACTTTTTGACAAATATCTAAAATAATTACATTAAATGAGAACCAAATAAGTCAAACAGAAAGATGATGTGTCTATAAACACATGCAAAGCACATAAACGTAGCGTTTGAGGATCAATTTTACAGCTTCATCCAAACGCAACCGCCTGTAAAAAACGTGCAGAACAGGATCCTGCATTTAGACATGCAGACCCCCCTGCTGAATGGGTATAAAAATCCACATCAACGGCTGTTCATACAGTCCTTATAACGGCAGTAGAGGCGGTGACAGAATGTCAAGATTGAATGCAGCTCAACGGAACAACGCCATTGGGAGATTCTAAGCTGAAGCAACTCAGCAAGAAGTGGCCAGGCACTTTGGCGTATCCAGACAGACAATCTCCGCACTGTGGACCCGATACAACAACACCAACAGAGTTGACGACAGACCAAGGTCAGGAAGACCAAGGGTGACAACCCAAGCACAAGATCGATACATCCGGCTGTGACACCTCCGAGACCGCACAACCACAGCCACGTCTACAACCACACAGATCCCTGGGGAACGCAGAATATCAGATCAAACGGTACGCAACAGACTGAGGGAGGCTGGAATTTTTGCACGAAGACCTTTTCGACGTCATGTATTGACCCAACGTCATCTGACGGACCGTCTGCTTTGGTGCCAACAGAGGGTTAGATGGGCACGTGCAAGGTGGAGAAATGTACTGTTTACTGACGAGTCCCGTTTCCTACTCACACGTGCTGATGGGCGCGCACGTGTCTACAGACGTCGGGGTGAACGTAACGCCCCCAACCGTGTGCAGCAGGCTGTCCCATTTGGCGGCGGGATTGTCATGGTATGAGCCGGAATTCATCATGGGGGTAGGACGCCTCTCGTGCATGTGGCAGGTGTATTGACAGGTGTACGTTACAGAGACTTGATCCTACAGCCTTACGTTCTTCCTCACGTCAACGTTCATGGCGGACAGCTCCAGCAGGACAACGCTCGACCGCATATTGCACGTGTTTGTCAGGACTTCTTACAGCACAACAACATCCAGACATTATCTTGGCCAGCCCGGTCACCAGATTTGTCCCCGATTGAGCATCTGTGGGACGAGTTGGATCGACGCGTTCGCAGAAGGAATCCACCGCCCCAAACACTTCCGGCGCTTCTTGATGCACTTCAGCATGAATGGCAGCACATCCAACAGCGTGTTATTGACAACTTGATTGCATCTATGGGTCGTCGGTGTCAAGCGGTGATTAATGCACGTGGTGGGCACAACCGATACTGACATTTTCTGTACCCCTGTGACATTAACTGTATCGTGTACGTGTGTCTGTCTAGGTGACACGATTAATGTTTTGAACATTGTGTACATTGATCTTCAAACAGTGTTTCAATTATGGTTTCTGTGTCCTATTTTGAAACAATCGTATTATAATACACTTTGAAAGTCAGTGTCAAGTTTCTTTTTTTGAAGAGTATAGATGAGTGAGTGAGTGAGTGTTTTTTTCAGCAGGTGTGCCAGATGTAATTGGAATGAACATGTGTTTTTGTCAAGATGATTAAAAAACATCTCGGAGTCTGATTTACAACGTATAATTCTCCATGAGTTTATACATGAGTGAGTGAGTGAGTTGGGTTTAGCGCGGCTTTTAACAGTATTTCAGTTATATCGCGGCGTGTCAGCTTAATGTGGGAGGAAAGCCGGAAGTGATGCAGGTCTCAGACGTTTACCATATCGGTGAAACCCACGAGCACGGCTATGGTGCTGACAAACATAGAAACATAATCGGGGATAACCGGGGTTCGAACCCACAATCATAGGTTTCTGGCGTGCCCAAGGGACGCAACTCTGCACAGCGAATTGCGGCGCCTTAGACGAATGGGCTACCCGTGCCCCCAGTTTATACATGAACCTTACAGGCTGTGCTGAGTATTACGATGAACTCATATCGATTGAGTAACTGTTGACCGCTCCTTTACAGCAAAATGATGAACTCGTAAATAATCCAGTACGTTGACACATAAATATCTTTTCCTCCCTATCACAAATATTATAGGAATCTCTCAATACACGAACGGCTTGCAGTGAGTAGGCTTTGATTGGAGAAAAGTAATTTCGTTGTGACTTCGTGTCACTTTAGGTCTTCCAGCCCTATGGCATGGCTCGATGACGATCTTTAATCATAGGGTGGTGGGCCTCGTGGTTAAAGCGTTCGCTCATCACCCCGAAGTGGCGGGTTCGATTCTTCACATGGCGAAAGTGTAAAGCTCGTTTCGGATGTCCCCAGAGGGAATAATACTGGCATATTGCTAAAAGCGGCATAACACCAGATTCACTCATCCATTGACTAATACAGTCATAGTCTCGTCTCTTTCATCGCGTGTAGGTTTTATTCAATATTTTTTTGATTAAGTACTTTAACTATCTTCAAAATAGCAACACGAAAAGGGGAAGTTATAAAGGCTTATCGATCCTTACATATCTAATTTTATCATATAATGGGTAGGTTTCTCGGCAGGATAAAGCCAATAGTCTACAACGGATAAAAACGATATCCGTTGGGGTCATATGCGGATAGAGATGCAAATATCAAAGGTCAATCGTCATTCGGTGATCGAGTCAGAATTAACCATCGGGAATCTGGATAAACTACAGGGATAATTGCTATCATTATCAAAAGAACAGTCTAATATACTGAAAATCAGTGTCTAACTGTGACGTAGCTGAGGCATTTTAAGTTTTGGCAACTATGGCGATATAAATTTCGAAAAATTTTTGCGAGGGCACGAGGTCTAGCCAAACGGGATCAGTAGCCATATCTGTGCTTGTAGACCTCTGCGGCTTGAAACCTTCTCCACAAATTAAAATAGTTGGATTTGGCCGAAATATGTTTGAATTGTTACCTTGTTTCGTTTTGTCGCTGTGTGTACATCTGACTAGACTTCTTAACGTTATGACAGGACTGACCGACTGTCAACCACGTCTGACCGTGGCCATGACGTCTAACAGACTAGGGTTAGAGTAGCTTCCCTTTGACAAAGGGCAGTTACTCTAGCGGACAGACCGATGGATTGCCACGAAAGGCAATTAAAAACAACTGTTCTTTTGCGTATATGTTGCTTCGCCAGTGTATAAGAAACAGATTTCAGTTGGAACTATATTGGCTTCTGTCACTGTCCGACTGACACATCACTTACCCTGTGACGTAAGTCGCCAAGGCTCGCTAAATAAACTGACGTCCAAAAGAAACTTTACCAGAGTTTGAAATCACTCTTGCTCAAAAACAACAAAACATACATGCATGAAGTAAAGTGTATTGAGAAGATCAATATATCAACATAATCAACACTGAAAATGACAATCATACCGCGACCGAGAATGACGTCAGAGCCCCCTAAATTTGGGTGTGGTACAAAACTCGAGCTTTCAGAATCATGGACAATAGGCAGAGTACATAAACAATCGCTCACGTTCAATAACAAGTCATTAGCAGCGTGTGTAACCCCCAAATGCGTCAATACACGCAAAAACTCTTCGACGCACAGAAAAAGTCAGTCGTCTGATGAGGTCACGTGGGATTTGACGCCATTCTTCTTGGAGGGCCAAGATCAGTTCTTGCCGGTTGGCTGGAGAGTGTGGTCGTCCCATATTCCACACAATTAAACCCCCGAGTAAACAACTGGAGGCAACTCTAAATGTTGTTACTAAGGTGACAAAAATATTGGACACAGTAATTAAATGGATGAGCAGACAGAAAAAGACATAATGTATAAAAAATATCTTAGCACGCAGACGGGGCGTCGGCCCGATCGTCATGATCGTTGAATTTTCGCAGCGCGTCAAACATCGGGAACCCGTTTTAATTCCAGTAAGAGGAGTACCCTCAGTGGCGGAATTTTTCGTTTTGGTGACGATTTCGCCTGTCGTTTTTATTGTCTATTTTTTGGTTAAGCATTTGTGATTAAGTGTGCCCTAAAGTATTAAAATCTGCAAAGTTGCTAGGTTGACTTTATTTGTCCTCTAACGCCGCTGTGAACACTATTAAAGTCATGGTGTGTGGGTTTGCCAAGCAGCATCTGTCAGCTTCTAGACGCTGACCACCTGGGTGAAACTCACGAGCACGGGTAGGACGCTGACATATCTAGAAACATACTCAGGGCGAATCTGGAATCCGATCCTGCATCATTGGTTGAGGTCATCAAACATATGGAATAGTTCATGCAGAAGGTGAAACATTAAATACTTTGGGGGATGGTTGTCTATTTACATACTCACCGCGGACGGTGATAGTATGTCCTTTCGTATAGTAATATTCTATGTTGCGGGGGCACTATGTGGACCTTCAAGTATCTGGTTAGACTATATAAGGGGACAATAGCGTGTCTACGTATCTCTCACGCATTTCATCGCTTCGAAACCAAGTTTGAGGTTCACTCTTCCTATCATCATATTTTGTATTTGATACTGACCACTGGCATCATATTATATTTTGAATATCATTGAATATCATACAACCACTCTATTGTGTACTGCCATTGTAATTGCTGTCCAGTAATTTGTACTGATTTGTATGAATTGTGAACTTAGGGAAACGTGTAAAACATCTGTTGATTGTATACCCCTTGTTGCGTTCACACTAAGTTCTTTTTCGCACGAGTTCTGGTTTAACATATTGATTCAAATAGGGAATCGTAACAATGGCATCTACTGCTTAGCCTCAAATACAACAGCAAATCGCTACAAAAATCAAATTCTTCAACCACACCTTCTTCCAATCATTGTCCGCCAGAGGGAGCTGTTTCAACAGAACAACGCTCCACCGCACACAGCTCGTGTCACGGTAGACTACCTACATAATGCAAACATCAACGTTTTGCCCTGGCTGTCGAAATCTCCAGATCTCAACCCAATTGAACACATCTGTTATGAACTCGATCGACGTGTACGTCAACGTCAGAACACATCGCAGACACTCCCAAAACTGTCTAACGTGTTACAAGCAGAATGGCGCAGAATTCTACAGGATAAAATTCGTATCCAGTCAGTGCCGAGGAGATGCAGACCCGTGATTGCTGCCCGGGGCGGTCACACGAGATACTGAGTTAAGCGCAACCTTGTGGCCTTATCTGACACGATAATGAACAGTTTTCAATGCCTTTGTACAACGACATGTGACTATCGAGCAACAAAATTTCATATTTGTATCTATGATATTAAATTAAATATATCGACTTTATTAGGGACAATGAAAAAGAAATAAATTGCCTGCCACAAACATTTCATTGTTGTAAGAAGATCTTCTTTAAAGCAAATTCAAACAGATTTAAAATATCTGGTTTTGTAGCAGTGGCTGAAAAAGTATATAATCTCGATAGTGTGTCATGGTGATTATCTGATACTCGTAACATGGTCGAAGATATAAACAGTCACTGTAGCGCAAGTCCTTCATTTGATAACTAAACTACTTGATATGTAAACTAGACTTCGACCCATGGCTGTTCTCAATATATATAGGGGCGGTCGGGTAGCCTAGTGGTTAAAGCGTTCGCTCGTCACGCCGAAGACCCGGGTTCGATTCCCGACATGGGTACAAAGTGTGAAGCCCATTTCTGGTGTCCCCTGTCGTGATATTGCTGGAATATTGCTAAAAGCGGCGTAAAACCATACTTACTCACTCACTCACTCAATATATATAACATATGAACCATCGTGACATGAACGTTTGGCAAATTTGTACACTACAGATGTTTGGTTAGTCGCTCAAACTTCAAATGACATGTGGGTATACCTGGATACAGGTTTGTGGATTTACACAATCACAAACAAACTGACAATACAGCTTCAGCTATCGCTCTATTACTGAATTGAGTGAGTGAGTTTGGTTTTACGCCGCTTTTAGCGTTATATGTTTAGTGTCGGGGGACACCAGAAATGAGCTTCCCACATTGTACCAATGTCGGGATTCGAACCCAGGTCTCGGGCTTGACGAGCGAACGCTTTAACCAGTAGGATACCCGACGGCCCCTCTATAACTGAAGAAATAGGTGAGGTGAATTGGGGTTTAATGTCGCGTTATTTAGCTCTGTGCATGCACTTTAGTTGTACAGAGAGCTCAGTGAATGGGCTATCGCTTGTACCCGTGCACAACAAGGGACTCCTAATGGAGGACATATTCGCGATTTGATATATTAAAACAATTTTAACATTTACCTTATAAATTATCAACATATAGCGCCCGGAATAAATGCTCGGAAGCTTACATACGCATTGGAAATATAATAGATATCATCACGCAGTCCGGGTCACTTATCTGTATGTATTTGTTATCTTACTTAATCATCCTTTATATCCTAGGCAAGCTATCTACAAACAGATACAGGTAAAGTGACATAGAGTAGTGGACCAGCTTAACAATAACCAGTCCAGAGGTATATACACATACATCGTCATGTATTTCGTTTGCGTTTGGTTTAACGTCGCTTCTCACTGAACGTTAGTTATATCACATCGTGTCAACTTACTGTGGGAGGAAAGTCCACGTTGACACAGGTGGTAAGCATACCATTCTGGTGAAACCAACCTCTTGGTGAATGATACTGACTGTCTGACGATAATGTTCAAGCTGCAATGAAATTCACACAACAATCTGAAGATGACGGAATGGAATTCTAACATCATGGTTGTTTGGTCGTTGTAAACAATGTCACCTCTAGATCTCCGCCCGTGTGATAAATCAGTGGTTTTGTCTTCCTTGTACAGGTGAGTTTCCTTGGCATGGAGCGACCAAGACATGGAGAAGCAAGGCTGCCGCGAAGCCCCTCTCTCTCCCCAAGTGGTACGTAAGTCCACGTAATTCACAGTATATTTATTACTACCATGTTTTTAATCGCAGAATATATGTTCTTTTAATTCGGCTAAATTGACAATAATCGCCAACCACTGAAAGGATGATGTAAATCCTGCTGGGGTCCATGCAGGTAGCAAAAGTACTGTAAGTCCCCATGGACCCTAGCGTGGTGATCTACCTTCAGTTGTTGGCGATCTATAGCCTGTTTTTATGTTGTGTTGTAAAATGTTAATATATTTTTACATGCTCTCTGACTAGTTTTATGTAAATCTGTGATATTCTAGTTATTATACTGCCCTTCGACGACAGAATTGTATACAGTTTAAAATATATTGTTAATGTCAAATTTTGTTTCTTCACGATATGGCTGAAATATTGCAGATGTGACGTTAAACTTTAACTCACTCACTCACTCACTCACTCACTCTCTTCCCAAGTTCAAATGCTGCAGAAAATTCCGGTAATCTTGCCTTTTGATTGATCGAGTGACTTTTGTTTAACGGCGCCTTGAACAAAATTTTAGTCATACACTCTTAAAAAAAAGACACGCACAGGTAGATTTTCAGTAAATTCATTGTACCGAATAAAGTTGATATATTTAATTTAATATCATAGATACAAATATGAAATTTTGTTGCTCCATAGTCACATGTCGTTTTACAAAGGCATTGAAAACTGTTCATTGTCGTGTCACATTAGGCCACAAGGTTGCGCTGAACTCAGTATCTCGTGTGACCGCCCCGGGCAGCAATCTCCTCTGCACTGACTGGATACGAATTCTGTCCTGTGGAATTCTGCGCCATTCTGCTTGTAACACGTTAGCCAGTTGTGGGGGTGTCTGCGATGTGTTCTGACGTTGACGTACACGTCGATCGAGTTCATCCCAGATGTGTTCGATTGGGTTGGGATCTGGAGATCTCGACGGCCAGGGCAAAACGTTGATGTTTGCATTATGTAGGTAGTCTACCGTGACATGAGTTGTGTGCGGTGGAGCGTTGTTCTGTTGAAACAGCTCCCTCTGGCGGTCAATGATTGGAAGAAGGTGTGGTTGAAGAATTTGATTCATGTAGCGATTTTCTGTCAAATTTCCCTGAACCACAACCAAGTCAGATCTCCTGGTGAAGGATATGGCCTCCACACCATGACACGACCGGCACCGAAACTTTCGATCGAATTCACGCACACAATGTTGGGCAAAACCCTCATTTCGACGACGATGGTCTTCCATCTCGCCGGTGAAGAAGAAATCGTGAATCATCGCTAAACCGCACTCGTCTCCAGTTTCTCAAATTCTAAGGCTGTAAGGTATGGCACCAACGCAAGCGTCGCTGTCGATGGATCAGTTGCAAAACAGGGACTATATTGGTCTTCTGGGTCTGATTCCAGCCTCGCGAAGATGGTTCCTGACAGTCTGGTCCGATATCCTCCTCAAACCAGGGATGCGTCCTGCAGTCTCCGTAGCTGTGGCATTGCGATGACGTAGGTGGAATAGTCGAATGTATAGCGATCCTGTGCAGGGGTGGTAACTCTTGGTCGGCCGGTTTTAGGACGGCCTGCGGTAGAAATGAGCTATGTGTATGGGTCACAAAGGCGGCAAATGGGTCTGTGGTGGACGTTGAAGTGGCTTGCAACAGAAGACTGCGATTCCCCCCTTTGGATACGTCCTATGGCGATGTTCCGATAGGCACCGCTGAGTCTCGGCGTTTACGAACTTGAAAAATGTTGACAATATTATTGAATGACAAATTATTGGCTTATGCTTGCCTTTTTAAAGCCACTACCACGAGTTACGAATGCCATAACCTGCACGTGCAATTTGCTTTACTGTTTTCCTCCATGACATTTTTGAACAAGTGTGAAAACAATGCCGTTTAAGACATTGCAAATCGACAATGGCTTCGTTTTGACGCACCTTAAGTCGAATATCAGGCCACCAACATTTTCAAATAACATATATCCAATTTATATACCGGATTTTTTGTGTAGCCAGGTTCAATTAACCAAATACTACCTGTGCGTTTCTTTTTTTGGAGAGTGTAAGTCCCCAGTACCGTATGGTTGTGTCCCCGTGACGGCGTGGATCGTCAGTTTGCTATTAACTATTGCTTTTCCTTGATCATTATTTGTAATAAAGCATTGCTATCGTAAAGCAACATTCACTCGCTAAGTCACTCATGTTACATTTCAGCGTGTGCTCCGTCACCATCCAGTGCAGAGGGAAGAATGTCCTCGGTAAGCTGTCTGGTTTGCGAATTTTACTAAATGACTCGAAGTCACTATGTGGATTCAAAGTCAAGTTACCACCACTGAAGCATAAAAATCATTTGGTGATATTAGTAACAGAGAAAACATAATCTATAGGTCTGTTTCGACCCATGAAGATCCGGGGTAGAATGGGTCTTCAGCAACCCATGTTTGCCGTAAAAGGCAACTATGCTTGTCGTAAGAGGCGACTAACGCGATTGGATGGTCATGCTCGCTGACTTGGTTGATGCATGTCATCGTATCCCAATTCCGTGGATCGATGCTTATGATGTCAATCACTGCATTGTCTGGTCCAGACTCGATTATTACAGACCGCCGTCATATAGCTGGAATATTGCTGAGTTTGGCGTTAAACAAAAAACAAACAAACAAAAACAAAATGGGTGTGTTTGACACATGGGGCGTTGGCAGAACCTTCCAGTTAAAGCGTTAGGGTAAGGGTTTGTCACGCCAATTATTGGGTCCTATTAACCACATGGGTACAATGGTTAAAACCCATGTGTCCACCGTGTGATGTTGCTGAATTATTGCTGAAAGCGGCGTAAACCCCATTCTCCGGCCGCGCCATACCAAAAGACGTTAAGAGATGGTAATTGTTATTACCTTGCCTGGCGCTCGGCATTAAACAAGGCTAAAACAAGGACTGATCGGCTCAGAGTCAGTATACTGTGTCTGAGTGGGGTATTCATGTTAAACTGCGGCATGGTATCTCAGTGCTAGCACAATAAAATCGGCATTAGAACAAGCAGCCACACACACGTGCATGCTCATTGCTATATAAGTGCAATAATCTTGAACGCGACGTTAAATCCCATTTCACCTTAATTTTAAATGTAAATCAACAATTGATGGAATCAGATAGTGCCAAATACTGATAGCCTAAAGTGTATACATGAATAGTATTGTGATCTAGTCCCCACAGGGTACAATGTGTAACAGCCCTGTGCCCAGCGCCGTGATGTTGCTGAAATACAGCCTAAAGTGCATACGTGCAAGAGCATGGCCAATCCGATATACCAACCCGGTAAACTTGATATCACGATCAGATAAAATACTGATGAGGTCACGTAGCAGGAAGTACTTTTAATCACCAAACATCGAATTTTTGCTAAATAGACTATTGACGAACGTTCGAATTAAGTTGCGATTTTGTTTTGTTTTGTTTGTTTGTTTCTTGTATAACGACGCATTCAGCAATATTCCACCTATATGACGGCGGCCTGTAATCGCCTGATTTTGTTTTGTAGCTACGATATGGCTGAAATATTGCCGATGTGATGTTAAATATTAACTCACTGACTCAGTTGTTTTGTATTTTGTAATATTTCAGCTACATGACGGCGGTCTGTAAATAATGAGTCAGTCCAGACAATCCAGTGCTTGACATCATGAGCATCGATCAACTTTAAATGCCTCCCCCCCCCCCCCCCAAAAAAAAAAAAATATATATATATATATATAAATAAATAAATAAATAAATAACAAATATTTAAAAAAAATAATTAAATAAAAATATGTCACATACCATGATAAAACATCCAATATATGGTAGTTTGAACAAGCAGGCATCTAACGACGCGGAGAACACGGAGCAGAGTATAACCTTCCGGGGACAGCATTCACGTACCATGAGGAAATCGGTCAAAAGTACTTTTGCCAGCTCTGATCGCGTTTCGAAGTATTTGAGCGATATACAGAAGCAAGGTTTTACAGTTGAATCAGTCCCTACCGAATCAGCAGGTATGTTCTCCTTCTGAACGTATCTTCAGGTACAAATGAATATTGATAAAACCATTGATGAAATAATTGTTCTGGCAAGTATTGACTGAGGAGCAAAACAAAGCAGCGCGAAGTTGATTTTATCATGTGTTTGATTTCCAATTGAAGTTAGCGATATTTTATCCATGAGAGGCGATAACAAACTCTCAAAGCTGAATTGGCGCAATTATCCAATGGAACTAAACTGATGAGCTAAAAAAACTATACCTCTCAGTTGATATGTTTGATTTGCATTTGAAAATATCTTAGTCAGCACTTTTAAATACTTATGCAGTGTATCTGATTTGATATGTTTCAGCAATGGAAACTGGACAGGTAAACATCGTTGAAGGCACAATAGAGAATATGGAGGTATATGTACAATCAATTATTGGTCCAATTATCTAACTAATATTTTGAATGGTTTGTGGCATTTCGTTACATTCTATATGAAATGATTAAATGTCAAAGTTACATACAGGAAAGTCTTTAATGGTGGTATTTTGAGCTAAGGCTCGATTCTTTCAGTTATTTGGAAAAGGCCCGTATCCGTATTAGAAAAAAACCTGGCCTTGTCCTTTTTGATAAAGCTAATGAATTATTTACATCATTGAATTCTCTGTCCCCTTTGACACAAGTGTGATTGATCAGCTTCAGGACAAACATGGCAAATATTTCACGCTTGCATCCCAAGTACATGTACCAAGTTGTCGGACTCCCCAATTGTTCTCGGTACCTTAGGTTTGGGACCTTCCCAATCTGTTGACTGACATTAGGAAAGTACCCGGGTTTGCTGCCAGGACAACACCCCTTCTGACAATCGGGGTAATGCAGAAGTCAGTAGTGAAGTGGTGTCCTCTCATTCTCCGAATAGTTCTTGGTGGGTTCGACCAGGCGGCGCTTCCTGAGAGAAGTCGTATTCACTGTCTGGGCTGAGGGGCAAGGACCCTGATCTGATGATGAGCCTAACCAGCGTGACTGTGCCAGGATCACCCAAACCCTCTTTGCTGCATTCATTTATTTTAATCTGTAATATAATAATAATATTGATGATGATGATGATATTAATAATATCCTCCAGGCTGATGTACTTGTCAACAGTGCTGCCTACAACCTTGATCTGAACCATGGGGCTGTTGCGAAAGCCATGTCGAGAGCTGCCGGCCCAGATCTACAATCTCACTGTAGACAGGACTACCCGAACGGAATACATGGAGGTGAAGTTGCTGACACGCCCCCGGCAAGGTTGAAATGCCAACGTGTGTTTCATTGCTGTATTTTACCATGGGACAAACGGGCTTCAGACACACAGGTAAATGTTTTGTTTGTTTGTTTGTTGTTTAACGCCGCACTCAGCAATATTCCAGCTATATGACGGCGGCCTGTAAAATAATCGAGTCTGGACCAGACAATCCAGTAATTGACATCATGAGCATCGATCCACGCAATTGGGATCGATGACATGTATCAACCAATTCAGCGAGCCTGACGACCCGATCCCGTTAGTCGCCTTTAACGACAAGTATGGGTTGCTGAAGACCTATTCTAACCCGGAATCTTCACGGGTCACAAGTAAATGGACCCTCCTAATATTTAAAGCATGAATTTTAAAATGCGGAAATGCATTTTGTTATAGAAAAGTAATCCTATTATAGCACTCTCTCGTCGAAGTTTACAAACTCTCCAATCGTTTAGGAAGTTGAATGGTTAAAGTGCTGATCCGTCACGACGAAGACCTAGACTCAGTTCCCCTTTCGGGTATACGGACAGGTAAAGCTAACCTATACTGCTACAACCCTACTCGCTCACTTCCAAAATGTTCTGACTAGCAGTATTTATGTTTCTAGAAGACGATGTTGAAATCGGTGGTCACATGTTGTTTGAACAAGATGGTTGAGAAGGGCTTCACCTCCATAGTGTTCCCTGTGTTTGGAACGGGATCACTCGCCTACCCACCTGAAGTCTCCGCCGAACTGATGCTCAATACCATCTACAACCATCCTAAAAGGCCCACACTAAATATCACCATTGTTGTTCATCCTCAAGACAAAGAGATTTTAAAAGTAAGTGTGCATAATTCTTCAGAAATTAATGTAATTTACACCTTTGCCTTGAGGAAGTTGGAGGCAGCGGCCTTTATAAGTCTTAGTCTTTGGCGAGAGAGCTTGAACATTACTCTATTCGCCAAGGGTTGGTTTGTATGTTGTGACACATATTTCTACAGTGTTTGCAATGAGGAACTATGTAGGGATTACTCGTCCCTCGGCGAGTTGCCATAAAAGGTGACTATGCTTGTTGTAAAAGGCGACTATGCTTGTCGTAAAAGGAGACTAACGGGATCGGGTGGTCAGACTCGCTGACTTTGTTGATGCATGTCATCGAATCCCAATTGCGTGGATCGATGATAATGATATGAATCACTGGATTGTCTGGTCCAGAATCGATTATTTGCAGACCTCTGTCATATAGCTGGAATATTGCTGAGTGCGGCGTTAAGCAACAAACCAACCAACCTTACAACAGGAATGAGGTTTTGAAAATCTGCTCTTCCCCGGAATTGCCACAGGGTGTTCGAATATCTGTATGAGTAATGAATGCATTCTCTAAGTCTTAATATCATTTCAAAATTAAAACGTGAATGTTGCATGTTAAGTGTGTTCTTGGTTTGTTCTATCTGTTTTTCGTCAGGTGTTGAATCATCAGCATTCTGCATATGGTAAGTTAATCATGCACATAACCTTTATTGAAATTATTTGAATGAATACACGTGTTACCAATTCACTAAAATCTGATGAATAAAAATAAAAGCGAAAAGAAATACATTTCTTTTATCATAAGAAATCCCTTTCCTATGACAATATCATAAGCTTGTGTTTATTAATCACCATCAAATAGAGAGACCAGGTGAACATCGACCCGTGAAGATCCGGGGTAGAATAGGTCTTTAGCAAACCATGTTTGCCATAAAAGGCGACTTTGCTTCTCGTAAGAGGCGACTAACGGGATCGGGTGGTCAGGCTCGCTGACTTGGTTGATGCACGTCATCGTATCCCAATTGCGTGGATTGATGCCCATGATGTCAGTCACTGAATTGTCTGGTCGGGACTCGAATATTTACAGACCGGTATCATATAGCTGGAATATTGCTGAGTGCAGCGTTCAATGTCTTACCCCCATCATAGAGGATTGTCCAGCATCTGACATATTGTTTTCTCTGTATACTTGGAAGAAATGTGCTTTCATTTTGACAAACTCGGGAAAACTATACATGTTTTAAATAGAATGATTAAGCACACGGCACAGCAGGTTCGTCCTGGAATTCCTGATGAAGCTAAATACCTAGTTAATACGAACCCCCTTAAGCAGGAAAGCTCGCAATCTCCACGATCTTGTTTGCAAACCGAAATATATTTGCAACATTGGTCTGCATTCATTATTGATTAATCCGTACTATGTATCGCTATAGGTAATTACAGAACACTTTTATTTTTGTACAGAATTCGAGGTCTCATTTGCCAAGGTGACAATAAAACGAGGCTGCGGGTCAAAGGAGAAGGTGGACGCTGTAGTGAACAATGTGGACTACGACATGCAATTGGATGGTTGGTCATATTATTATCTATGCTGAGTCAGCAAAAAAAGAAACTTCCGGGGTAGAATAGGTCTTCAGCAACCCATGCTTGCCGTAAAAGGTGACTATGCTTGTCCTAAAAGGCGACTAACGGGATCGGGTGGTCAGGCTCGCTGACTTGGTTGATGCATGTCATCGTGTCCCAATTGCGTGGATCGATGCTCATGATGTCAATCACTGGATTGTCTGGTCCAGACTCGATTATTTACAGACCACCTTCATAGAGCTGGAATATTGCTGAGTGCGGCGTTAAACAATATAATATAATATTTGTTTTTGTTTTATGCTTACATGTATGACGTATCCACTTCTAAATTGTAGTTGAGTTACAAATTTACGTTATGGAATGTTTGTCGCTATTTGATTCGATGTGTTTCGGAAAACATGAAATGCTGAGTAGAAATATGTTTATCATCATCATCATCATCATAGTGTGTTTGCTTTCATGTAATAGGCATAGGCTCTGTTTCTTCACCACCCTCGTATATTGTTTACGTCGTCTTTTCAGGCTATTTGTCCAAGGAACTCGTGGACATATGCGGTGGCAGGTTCAAGCAAAATAGTCAAGCTCAGAGTAAGCAGATTACTATTAATATGTATATACATCTGGAATAATTAAGCACCGCTTACTATAGATTTCCATATAAGTAGTCACGTGTTTGTAAATATATTTTCCCAGAGACCAAGGTCCCTTTTGTTCACATGGTGATATTCTCTTATTGAAATACAGATCCTGCAAGCGAATATATATTTGTACGTGTATTGAAAGTGATCCATGACCATAGCCACTGCTAAACCGCCACCTCGCTGGGGATCATGGGGACTTACAGTACTTTGGCTTCCTGCATGATACCCCAGCAGGATTTACGTCATCACTTTAGCCACTGGTGGTTGTGAACAATACTGGCCAATATTATATTAAATTAAAACAATTGTCAGCAATGAGTTGGCTTAACTCATTGCTGACAATTTTTTAATATTGGCTAGTATTGTTCTCGTCGCTATATGGCTGAAATAATGCCGATGCGACGTTAAATTTAACTCACTCACCGTTTCAATTGTTGCCTCTGCTTCTGTGCACGATGTGCTATCATGTTACACAAGATCACTACATGGTGGGGCGGTCGGGTAGCCTAGTGGTTAAAGCATTCGCTCGTCACGCCGAAGACCCGGGTTTGATTCCCGACATGGGTACAATGTGTGAAGCCCATTTCTGGTGTCCCCCGCCGTGATATTGCTTGAATATTGCTAAAAGCGGCGTAAAACCATACTCACTCACTCACTCAGTACATGGTTATCATGCTATATCGTCTAGATAACCATGTAGTGATCTTGTAACATGTCTACGGGTATGCAAGGTATCCTAACATGTGATCAATGTTCTGTGTTGATACTTCCAAAGGATATGGGATACACGTATATGACAATACAGGTGTATGTTTCCTTCAACTCGTTATAGTAATTGGATTTTCCAAGCCATCTGATCGCACTCAGCAATATTCCAGCTATATGACAGCGGTCTGTAAATAACCAAGTCTGGACCAGACAATCCAGTGATTAATATCATCAGCTTCGATCCACGCAATTTGGATCGATGACATGCATCAACCAAGTCAGCGAGCCTGATCTCGCCTTTTACGACTCGCATAGTCACATTTTACGGCAAGCATGGGTTGCTGGTTGTTGAGGAGTAAGTTCGATTTAACGCAATTGTGAAGAGGATTCCAATTATATCAAGGCATGTCAACTTAATATGCCAGGAAAACCCGAAGTGATGCGCGTCCCAGATGTTTACGACTTTGGTGAAATCCAGGTGCACGGACTCGGTGTTGACAAACTTACAAACAATAGGATGAACCGGGATTCGATCTCAAAATCATAGGCGTGCCCATAGGACGCAATGCTGCACAGCGAATTACGGCGCCTTAGACGACTGGGCCACCCGTGCCCCCGCTGACGTTTAGATTTAGTGAGTATGGTTTTACGCCGCTTTTAGCAATATTCCAGCATATTCACGGCGGGGGACACCAGAAATGGGCTTCACACATTGTACCCATGTCGGGAATCGAACCGGGATCTTCGGCGTGACGAGCGAACGCTTTAACCACAAAGCTACCCGACCACTCCTCTGACGTTTAGAACTTATATATTATATCATTATATCATACGATGTAGGAAGATTGTAATCCCCAGTAAGATTTGCCTTCAAACAAACACTGCCTTTAGGGAAATACCGTTTGATGCATTTATTAATGAGAAGCGTTTTCTTATGCCTAAGGGGCGGTCGGGTAGCCTAGTGGTTAAAGCGTTCGCTCGTCACGCCGAAGACCCGGGTTCGATTCCCGACATGGGTACAATGTGTGAAGCCCATTTCTGGTGTCCCCCGCCGTGATATTGCTGGAATATTGCTAAAAGCGGCGTAAAACCAAACTCACTCACTCACTCTTATGCGTTATGTGGTATTCCTTTTCAACTAGACTAATATTTAGTCCCAGAAATATAGTTTGAATACTCATTGAAAAGTATACATCTACAAAATATAGAATATAATCTAAATATACTCTAGAACAGTGCTCAGTTTCCGATGCAATCTAGACTTGCCAAATCATTCTAGACTTGAGTAGGATTCCTTTCTTAATTTATTCTCTAGGGTCTGGGAGACAGACTACTTTTCACCCAGTAGATGTAAATGAATATGAAGGTAGCGCCTTTATGGTTTGATGTGGCTTTAGCTTAGTTTTATGTAACAATAATCCAGCAATATCACGTTGGAGGACACACAAATATGAGGTCCCACGTTGTATCTATGTGTGGAGTCGAGCCCATATCTTCAGCGTGACGTGCGATGTTTTAACGACTAGACTATCCAATCGTCCTTGATAGTATATATATTTAACACACCTTGACAATAATTCATATACGATTCTTCTACCTTTCAGAGCAGGTTCTTCAGGAGAAAGGAGCTGTGGCTATTGAACGTGGTTTCCGTTTATCAATGCCATGGAAGATGGTGATCCATGTATGTGGGGCATTCTTCCAGTACAAATGGCAAAATGCTGTTGTTGAATGCATACGTATTGCCAGGAAAAAACGGGCCAGATCCATCGTTTTCCCCTGCTTAAAAGCAGGACAAGGTAACAGACTAGTTATTTAACTGTCTGTTCGGGACGAGCCATTTGTGTTTGCGACAGATTTTTTTTATCAATCATCACTTCAAGAAAAGGGCACATTCTGATACCCCAAAACATTTTTTTGACAGTGAATGATAGTATTTGGTAAAACCTGTAGGCAGTTCTATTTCTGCATTTTCGGGAACATGTTATTGTTTTGGCATAAAAACCAAGGACGACCTCTACCTGCTGTTTGACATTGTCATTTCACCTCCAATGGCGTATCCGGTTTCAAAGAAGCGTTTTTAAATATGTAGCATAACATATACCTTGACAACTAAGGATGTAAAAGACGTACCGACAATGTGTAGATTTGCTTCCCTAAGCCGTTTTTGAAAGATCGTTGAATTCTTGAACACTGCATTCTCGAATTTATATACTAGTATTTTATGAGTGCTCTACAATATTGTTATTTATAAAAATACTTTTGTGGTAATATTTTTGCCGATATCAAATGTCGAATTTTGCTTAGTTGCGCGGAATATGATGATGTATTGTTCTTCAGTCAGGCCAAACATTCGGTATGTTGCATCAGCTCACGCCAATACGTTTGATAAAATTGTGTTGCCAGGTAACTCTACGCTGGATATATCCCAAGTTGCAAACTACATCTATGAGGGCATCAAAATGTATACTGTGGCCGATATTTGGAAGCAAAACAAAATCACCGACATCCGATTAACTGTTCTTGACCAGAAAGTTTTTAGCAAGATGCGGGACATCATTAGTGAGCGACATCTAAAGGAATCAAATGGTACGTCACATTTGGAACTGATCTTACATGCACTTTGGTGCACTGTGTAAGTAGAGGATGCATCACAAGTGTTTTTTTAATATGGGAAATTTCAACCAAATCTTAGTTAATCAGTGTTTGCCGTGCCGTTGGTGAGGCAAATACTGATTAACGGAAAGAGTTGATATTTTCCATGTTAAAAACACTCGTGCTGATTTCTATTAATCATTTTCACATTGACAAGGTTGACACAATTTTATGGATAACAACTTCTATAATACTGTTAAAAGCGACGTTTCGGTATATATCCTTATACCGTTGTCAAGCAAGACTGAATGAGGGACACAGTACATAGTACAGAGTTTTCCTATTGTGGTTATGGACAAAAAGGAGGGTTCCAAACGCTTCTGTGTTGATTTTAGACAATTGAACAAGGTCACAAATCTCACATCCTCTGCCAGTAATTGATGATATTTTGGCTTTATTAGGTAATTCATCATACTTCAGAACACTTGATTTAAAATCAGGTTATAGGGAGATCCTTATGTGTGAAAATGATAGTGAACAAATAGCAGTTCTCAGCAGTGCCATTTGGTTTGTGTAATGCACCTTCTATACTGAACCACAAAAGAAACATCATTATGGATAGATATATGAGAAACCTTTTTTGTCCAAACAATGTAAACATACTTTGAGACATAGATAAAAACTTGGCATAACTGATCATCAAGGTTGAAATTAAAGTGTCAAATGTTCCTAAAGTGAAACACAACACTAGTCTCTGAGAAAATGGCATCACAAGTCAGTAACTTGTGTGTCCGCCATGTGCATTGATGACTGCCGTGCAACGTCTATTCATGGAATGAATGAGGCAGTTGATGAAGGCCATAGGCACTTGAGCCCACACTCTGAGGAACGCCTGATGCAATTCAGCTGCAGTTGTAGTTCAGCCGTCTTTGAATCTCGTGCCACAGGTGCTCAATGGGATTCAAATCGGGACTGAGTGCAGGCTACTGCATAGTTCTGATGCCATTCTGCTGGAGGAAGTCTCTTGTTCCTCTAGCAGTGTGGGCACAGGCGTTATCATGCTGAAACTAGTGGTTGCGGCGACATGCCTAATTTAGCTATGGCGTGTGGTCTCAAGACTTGATCAATTTACCGAGCTGCTGTGACACCATTGCCTCTCCCTGGACCGATGTTCTGGAAGACCACAGGGCCGACCCTCTGTGCAATACCAAGTCCTTCCCACACAATGATGCTCGGACCGTCTCTCTCAAAAACACGAGCATCCGAATCACGTTCTCCATGGCGTTGCCAGACTCTCTCTCAGCCATCTGCTTTTGAGATGCAGTAACGGCTCTCGTCTGAGAAGAGGACTCTTCTCCACTGCTGGTGGCGCCAATGCTGGTGCTGTGTTGCCCACTGAAGACGCTCCCGGTGATGATGCTGTGTCAGAATGGGTCCTCAGTGTGGCCTGTGACAAGGGAGGTGTCTGCTCGTCAAACGCATGGTGTCCACACTAATGTGTCGCTGGTGTGTCCCAATGGTCTGTCGAGCAGTTTCCACAACAGTAACAAAGAGATCTTGAAACTGCTGTTGAACAATCTGACGATCTTGAAGTCGGGTGGTGACCTTTGGTCATCCACTACATGGTCAGTCATCTGTAATGTTGGCGGTCTGGTACCGTTGCTAGAGCCTCTATACGGTTCTTACGTGGACTTGAAATGCATTGGCTAGTTGCTGGGCGGTTTGTCCAGCTACAATCGTCCAAGGGCTTTGTGTCACTGATTTCTTGTCAATCTTGGCATGTGGTAGCAATTCAATAACAAATGAATGTTATCCGATCTGGGTGGATTTTTATAGGGCAAGAAATGGGGGAACGCATGTGCATTTCATTTTGCACGGAAATCACATGCACCGGGTTACCATGGCCATTGCTGTGATGCGTTTAGGCGATCGGTTTTATTGTCATCTGCTTTGGGTTTTTTATCATCAAATTTCATTTTTCTGGACAAGGTAATGTAAACTTTGACAAAACTTACCCAGATATTTGACAACATTTCATGTTACTTGGGATGACGTTTCTTTTGCGGTTCAGTATATTTTCATGGAGCTCATGAATATGGTGCTTCAAAACTGTGAAGCTTTTGCTTTTGCATATCTTGACATTCTTACATTCTGATCAACCAAGGAAGAACACATGAAACACCTTGGCATAGTACTAGACAAATTGAGAGAACACAGCCTTAAGTTGAAATTGAGTCAATACAGCTTTCTAAAAGAAGAGACAAATTAGTTGGCTTCTATTGTCAACAAGGACAGAGTGAAACCAGACATGTGAAAAGAAGAAGCCATAAGATCAATGCCTCCTCCTTCAACTGTTGGAGAGGTCAGAAGTTTTATGGGAATGTGTAGCTATTACAGAAGGTGCGTACAAAATTTCACGTTGACAAAGAAGTTTGCAAAGAAAACACTCAAACTCAAGATGTTTGCCCGACGACAATGGACACATGGGCATAGATAAGAAATATGACTGGCCTAAGATGTTCAAGCATCTCTATGAGACAATCAATCAGTGTGTCCCTTGTCAAGAAAGAGTCATGATGAATAAGAAAACGCTTATCTGAGAAACAGCCATTCCTTCATATCATTTGCAAAATTACGATTAGATCTGTCAGGGCCCTATCCCAGATCTCTTTCAGGGAACAGATATATCATCAGCTTGATAATGCGTGATTTCATAAAAATCATAGCGTGTGTCCACCTCTGGTTGCAATGCAAGCAACACATCTTCGTCTCATGGAATGGACCAGGCGTCGCACAAAGTCCTGTGGGATATCTGTCCATATCTGCTTGAGCATGTTTCGAAGTTCCTGGAGTGTCTGTGGAACACATGGTTGACGTTGAAGGCGCCGAATCATCTCATTCCACATGTGCTCGATGGGCGAGAGATCAGGGGAGCGAGCCGGCCAGGGGATGACATTCACGTTGTTTTGTTGAAGAGAATCCTGAACAAGTCTAACAATATGAGGCCCCTGTGTTATGTTGAAAGGTAATGCCTGGGACATGACGACGCAAAAACGGTAGAACAACAGGACCGATGATCTCGTCGCGCTAGGGCTGTCCATTGAGATTTCCCTCTACCACTATCAAACAGGTCTTCTGTCTTGCTGTAATCCCACCCCATACCATAACGCTGCCGCCCCCAAACCGATCTTCTTCCATGACACAATGATTGACATGACGTTCACCTCGACGTCGGAACACTCGAATCCGTCCATCGCTGTGGCTGAGATGAAAACGAGACTCGTCAGTCAATAGAACTGGTCCCCACTGCATGGACGTCCAGGGTAGACGCTGTCTGCACCGCTGTAGATGTGCTTGACGTATGTTTCCTGTCAAAATGGGACGTCTGGCGGGTCTTCTTGCGACAATCCCAGCACATCTGAGGCGGCAACGTACGTTTTGTGAAGATGATCGTCGAAGGCCAGGGATGCTTCTTGCAGTCACTGTTGCTGTCTGGAATCGACAAGTTATATGTTAAATTGGCTAGAATATGTTAACTGGTTCAAAGAAGTCTCCACGGGATATTTCTAATCAGTAGAGGGGCAAGTGTAACATAGTTGTCAAGCCAAGAGTCAGTCTGATGTGACTCCAGTCACACATGCCTTGTGAGGTTGCTGGACTAGGGAAACAGGTTAATTACCTTTTTTGTCCAAGCGGGTGGACAATGCCAGGTGGTATAATTTATTATCTTGCTTTGGACAGGCAATTCACTGGTCAACTCCTAAGTACACAAAGTTGCTACATGATCACTCACTTAAGAAAGACATAACCCAGAATGTGTCAGTGTCCGAGATCCATGTGGTGTAAACGTGCAGGCACTAAATAGTCAGAGGTGTATAAGTGACAGGAAATAGATGGTACTGGACCAAAGTCCATTACGCATTAAAAATCAACATGTTTACATCCTCCACAGGGTAAACTCTGGGCCACCAGGTCCAAAGGGCAAGGTTCTGTTACCCCTTTAATACAGAGACAGACTGCAGAACTGTGAAGTTCCAGCCAGAGCCAGAGCCATTTGAACTCCAGCTAATATACCTTTTATTCCTGAACAAAGAAACTTGTTGCGTTACAAATTGCGATATATTTGTTCAACTGAAAATAGTTTTGCATGAGACAAGTCTTTAAAACAGTGGCCCTCAGCAGGTTAAGGCCCTCATTGCGACATTTACAAATTCTATTGCAGTCTGTCTCTTAGTCCCTGAACCATACTATTTTGTCTTCCACCCAGCTCTTTCCATAATGCAAAAGCCCTAAATGAAGCAAGTCCAGGGGCGCGTTGCAAGCCACGAATCGCTTTTAGAGAAAGCAAATTAATCGCTCATCCTGGTGTCTGCAACAGTTCGAAGCGTTTGCCCACTCTTCCAAAATGGCGGCGCAACTAGCGCTTGGTTGCCTTGACGTAATGAAGAACGTAATAGAAGAGGGTCGATGACGAGCTGATGGAATTTATGACTACTTTGAAGATGTAAAGCAGGCTGAGGATGATGGGGTCTTCGCTGCCTTTGCTCATTTCCTCGTTGATCCAGTCAAGAATTCCTTGTTCCGCTGTCAAAGTGAGCCGCCATTTTGGTTTGAGAACGAAGCGACCTCAGCCAGCGATTGTTTCACTTGCAAGCGGCTGAAAGTTAGCGCACTGTTGTAAGGCGAATCGCTGTACATCGCTTGCGAGCGATTGGCGCTTTGCAACGCACCCCAAGTTTTCCATATTGCAGTGTTATTTGCCTTGAAGTTGTGATTATCCATCCCACATATACATCTACATGTTAGAATTAGAAGCATACTATATTATAATTCATGCTACAGATAGGATGTTTGCATGAGAACATACTCTATGATAATCCATCCCACATATACATCTACATGTTTGTTTCAGAAGCATACTCTATGATAATCCACCCGACATGTAGGATATTAGCATCAGACGCATTCTCTTTTATGATCCTTCCTACATATATATCTACATGTTGCCATCAGAAGCATAATATAAGACATACATTCCATCGATCATGTGTGTTATATATTCTATCTAGTATCATGTTCTCTCCACAACATTGAGTAAAGATGCCAAAACTATTCAACTGGTTTGATAGGCATTACTTAGAAGTTGACGGATGACAAGATAGACACAATATTTTTATGGATAACAACTTCTTTAATACTGTGAAAAGCGAAACGTTGCTTTTCACAGTATTAAAGAAGTTGTAATCCATAAAAATATTGTGTCTATCTTGAAAACTATTCAAGCTATTTTGAGAACAATCACACAGATTCCTGGTATCGGAATGATTTTATGTGCTTTGTCTGATTTTGCTTATTTTCAACAAAGTAATCTTCTGTCAATATAGTTACACGTATCTTTTGAAATTAATAGAAACATATCGACTATGAAAATACAAAATTGTATTCACTGTTGTAGGACTGAGATGTGAACCGCCTCCCGAAACCACTCTCATTATAACCGGTGATGTGAAAGCAAGAAGGGACATAAGCCAGCATCTAGATGATCTTCTGAAAGAAACAAAAGAGCGGACGATGGAAGACAGCCGCTTGTCGAATTTAGATGATGAAGAAGTAAGTTATTAACTGTTGCCTTAATTTTACCATTAATACACATAAGTCTGTCCGTCTTATGTCTCTTTCCTTGTAGGAAAGGAGTCCTGAATTGGATTTACAAAACTCTCTCAACCCTGATATGTTAGCACAGACATACAGCGGTCGTACAATTGACTGCTTTGTGAAACGACTCAGAGTTTTGAAAATTCATTTTCCTTATAACTAAACAAATGGAGAATTGAGAGTTTGAAAAGAACACTTGCCAATTTCGTATCCAATTTAAAGGTGATCCAAGTAATAATCAGACTTTGTAGAAAAGAATAACATAATCAATAAAGCACTGATATGTTATTATTGCTGATAATCCATGCTGGTTATTAATGTTTGTTAATTTGATTTCTATTCGTCCACTGAAGTGATAATGTGACAGCATAATGCATTACAACTTTGGTGCGGTTGAAGGAATTTGCTACCCATTTGCATGAACGGCATGACATTTTGTAAAATATTACAACCTTCTTCTTCAAGTTTCTCTCTGTTTAACTATAGGTCTACTGAGCCAAGCACGTTATTGCACGTTCACCTTATTAATTTTATTTGTCAGAGTCACATGATATGACCTTCTTTAAAAACGATATTGCCCTGAGACCCACCCTGATGTAGTGGGTCTCCTACACAAAAACGTAGGAGATGTTTGTTTTGAGGAGAAACTACAGTAAAATACACACATTTCTGGAAATGAAAATTAGTGATTTATGTGGCAAGAACATTTTTGTAGAAATCAAGTTCCCAGATACAACATTGTGACAGTCAAGAGCACGTGACCTCGGACAGCAAGTGCATATTGTTTTCTTTTAACCAGACGTTAAAGATAATTTAATAAAAACTTTTAATCATGACCTTTCCCCATTCAACACGCCTGGGGCGTCTTTGGCAGACATCCACAACTCTCAATGACCTCGGTGTTGATCTCTCTGATGAGTGGAACAACATGGGTCAAGCTGACATGGATCGACTCATCAGAACCATGTCGGGGGGAATTCGTGCATTTCTGACCAACAGAGGTGGTTTTGCCGATCTTAAACGACCTAGTGCGCCACCATGTCATTACACCAACCATTATAATCCATTAGCTCTGCTCGCCTACTCCCCAGCAGATATGATCATGTCATTTCGATTTGCCGATACCATATATATCAGAAGATGTCTTGATCATTCCTTCTATTCCCTACGGTATTGGCATAGTACAGTTTCAACCAACCAGCCTGTTATGAAGCAGCATCTCCAAGGTAAACAATATGGCAATATTTTTTTTTTTTTAATGTAGTAAACAATTATTCACCACAATTCGGTCAGTGTCATGTTTTATTGACCCATGAAACAGATATATATTGAGGCCTCGGTCAATATCGTTTCCTGGGCCCACAAAACATTTTATTGCCCTCAAAAATGGTCAATGGTTAAAATATTAGCTCAGCATTGTTCATTTAGATGCCATTAGTTTGTGTATTTTTCTTTAAAACAACGTTCATTCCCATTGTTTACTCAGCTTACAAAACTGATACAGAAGGGTCGACGCTGTGCGGTAGAGCTAGACATAGACCAGTCAAAGAACATGGTAACTATACTTGGTTTCGAGGAAAACATCAATGAAGGCTGGTCAGAGACAGCTGCCATCCTTGAAGAGGCAGGGTCCAAGAGGAATCAAGTTCAGCCGAACTCCGTGCGATGGATGTACAGCGGCATGGGCAAACGATCCAGCTGCGATGCCATGAGCAACAAGATGATTGAAACTGCCTACCAACAAGGTCAGCAATATTGTTTTGTGAACGACGACAAGGACAGAAGGTGGCGTGTAGCTCTTGTTCCAGGATCCTTTTCTTGGTCTCTGATACAGGAACCAAAGAACGAGTACATCCTTACACGAAGCGGTACGTCTTGATGTGTGTTGTTGTTTTACGTCAAACCCAGTATATATAATATTGCAACTATATAATGAACGACTGTAAATAAACGAGGCTCGGGGGTTTACACGAAGCACAAATGTGGAGAATTGATGAAGAAAAAAATATACTTAGTTCCGAGGGACGCACAATGATATTCATTACATCTACAGCATATCAGGAGCAATTATGGAAGTCTGTTGTGTTGATGAAGCAGAACATGATTTGCGTCCAATCTTACAACCGTATCATGACTGGGGACTGAAAACATTAACTTCACACATTGGACCTGTGTCGAAAATCGAACCTGGGCCTTCGACGTGATGAAGAACGCTTTAAACATTGTGCTACTTTTAATTTTGATTTGAATGAATGTTATATTACCTAAATAAAAATAGCCCTCTGTTTCAATGACGTATACTGAAACACTAATGTTGAAGAATGTGGCCATTGTTTAAGGGAAACAATTATTTTGTATCACAAAATATTATTTGTGGCAAAAAATGCCTGAGTATTGTGGTCATAAAAATACACATCGTAAGACGTCTAAATATCAAAATCATGTGTATTTATTGGTGTGTTTTTTATGTTTACCTGTTTATTTTGGTTTGGTTTGGTTTGTTGTTTAACGCCGCACTCAGCAATATTCCAGCTATATGACGGCGGTCTCTAAATAATCTAGTCTGGACCAGACAATCCAGTGATTTACATCATGAACATCGATCCACGCAATTGGGATCGATGACATGCATCAACCAAGTCAGCGAGCCTGACCACCCGATCCCGTTAGTCGCCTTTTACGACAAGCATAGTCATCTTTTACGGCAAGCATGGGTTGCTGAAGACCCCGGACTCTTCACTGGTCTTTACCTGTTGAAGAAAAATACTTAGACAAATGATTTTGGATAATGACAAGGAATAAATCCAAAGACATTTAACTTGTTTGTACATGTTTTGAACGTTTGGGTTTACATGGTATATTTTTGGATATTGTTAACAAACGATAATTTACAAATATGTTGTTGCAGAAATCACAAGTAATCAGCAGCTGCCGTCCTCGTGGACGTTGATGGGAATAGAGAGCTTTATGGAAGTTGAGATTATGCGAGGCAGTAAAGAGTTCGCAGAAGTAGAAAAGCAGTTCAAGGAGACCTATGCCGGATCTTGTGACATTGTCAAGGTAGGTACAGCTGTATCAAACAGGGATTTGGGCGTGTTGGAAGTACGATATAGATACCCCTAAGGCTTCTTAATTTACAATGGTAGTGGAGGCAAAAGGCTGCATAAGGATGGCCTGTAAATAATCGAACATCAATCGGTTCAACAGGGCAAATTGGTCTGATGCATGGCTTAACCCTGTGCAGGATTGCATCATTAGGTCGTGCTTGTATTCACTCATTGTGGGTACGAATCACAGACTGAGATCTGAGATTGGTTGTTTCACGTGAACGTGATAAGCAGCTTCTGGGAAGATACTAATGTGCCTTATTCATTTTATTCACAGATTGTCCGGATACAGAACAAATGGCTGTATCAGCAGTATATCGCGGAGAGGCAGAAGTTTGACAACTTGTACGAACCAGAAAACACAAATGAGCTCATGCTGTGGCATGGCACCAAGAAAGAAAACACCCAGATGATCAGCAAGTTTGGATTCGACCGGAACTACCGAGGTGCAAATGGTGAGCGACATGTCATTGTTAAGAATCTTGTGGATAAACGCTGATTGATAAACGCTAGCTAATAAGTTGAGCTCATTACCACCAGAGTAAGTCAGTACCAGATTTAAACTGCCCCACAATTACACACGGACGAAACCTGAGTTTCGAATGACCATCCGTAGCATGATGAGCCGTCAACGGTCTAGCGATCCCTGTCGATGAGGACATAGAGATTAATACACGAGTGTCTGTAAGATACCATTTATCTAACAACGAGTTGTAAGATAAATGGTATCTGCCAGGCACGAGTGCGGTGATCTGTTTCTTACACAGCCTTTTAAATAAAATCGCACCTTCTTAGCATCGAATCATCAAATTTTGTCTTATTCTCATGATCGCAGTGACGCATTATTACATAAAACCACGCCATGAGTGATGTCATCCGATGCGCTGCTTACTACTTATAAATAATATGACCCTACACAAAAAGGTTTCTGCCATATCTGTGATCTCATGATCGCAGTGACGCATTATTACATAAAACCACGCCATGAGTGATGTCATCCGATGCGCTGCTTACTACTCATAAATAATATGACCCTACACAAAAAGGTTTCCGCCATATCTGTTGATTATCAGGATATATAATATCAAGGAACACGCTGGATGCCGAGTTGATAACTTTCACCTCACAGACATTTTCAAATATGTACTACAATGTTTACAATGTATGACATCACTACCGGTGACAGACTTACAAATTGGCGTGTTCACTGACAATAGTCCCAGGGGTTTTCAGAGGAGGATTTTCGTTGATTGAGGGAGCATACATAAATGTGTCATGTAAGTAAACAGAAACAATCAGAAAATCTGCGTACTGTCCAATACAACCAAGAGAATAAGTCAGAAACGGAGGTAACTACCGTCGTCATTGTGCGTGATTTTGTGTCAGTCAATGGCCACACAGGATGGAATCTTTCACGATTTCTGTTGAATTTACCTGATCGTTGTAATGTACATCTTTCTAATTCCATCATTCGTGTTAAGATACTCTTCCCAAGGATATTCCAAAACGCGTGAGCCAATGTATATAATGTTTAGACGAACGGATCTCGCAAAACTGCATTAGGCTTCCATAGTTTCATGAACCCAAATTTGTCCAGATACCACAAGGAAGTTGTGCTTTACGTGTTGCTGCAGTTCCCCTACCCTATAAATAGTGAAATTCAAGTTTCAGACACGTGGTTGCATTTTGCTCACGTGTGAGATTCCCCTTCCAATAGAGGTTGAAAATCAGCCATGGTGAGGAGAAAGTTAACGAACTCTGAAAGATGGCAAGTGATAGGAATGAAAAATGCTGGCATGTCATGCAGGGCCATTGCAAGACAAATGGGTCGTCATCAAAGTGTTATCACTCGTTTGATTGTCAAACATGGTCAAACCAATGACAGGCATAGGTCTGGTAGGCCAAGAAAGACCTCTAACAGAGAGGATAGACGTCTTTTCAGGATAGTCAAATGAAATCCATTTGCCACTTCAACAGATTTAAGACTGCAATGGATAACCCATCAGATACTCTCGACGATGACCGTAAGGCGTCGCCTCAGAGCGGCTTGTTATAATGCCAGAAGACCAGTAAAACGTCCTCAACTGACTGAGGTACATAAGGAATCGTCTGATATGGTATCGTGCCTGTAGTCGATGGAACTTGACCAACTGGAGAAGGATCCATTGGTCTGACGATTGTCGAATGCTGCTTCGAACTGTTGATGGTCGAATACGTGTTTGGAGGCAACGTAACACTCGTTTTGCACCAAGGAACATCCAGAAGACCTTAGCATGTGGCGGGAGGTCTGTCATGATATGGGGTTGTGTTTCCTTCGGCTGCAAACTTCTGCTGGTGACAATTCGTGGAAACCTGAATGGCCAATAATACCAAGATGCCGTCCTTCGTCCAGTGGTAGTCCCTCATTTTGACAACCATCCTCTTCAGACAAGACCTGTTTACATGGACGACAATGCCAGACCACACAGATCTCGGGCAGTTTGGGCTTATTTTCGTCAAGAAGCTATTGCCACTCTTCCTTGGCCGGCCTGTAGTCCGGATCTTAATCCCATTGAGCATCTCTGGGACATTCTTGGCCGGAAAATCAGACATTGTGAGCCCCCAGTTCAAAATCTTGCTGGACTTGAAGCCGCACTTCATGAAGAATGGATCCGTTTGCCTCAGAGAAGCATTCAACTACTTGTAATGACTATGAGGCGTAGGGTACTGACGTATCTGTCTTGCAATAGACTCTGTACTACCTAGGGTGTCTATGTGACACCTAATATGGTCTGCTGATATCATGACAGTTACATGACAAAAAACGTTTTTCAATGTTTTCTAATCCTTCAATTTCTGGTCTTCGGTAAAATTCCTTTCTGCTCATATTCTTTTGGAACACAAGATAAACTTGCTTTTGCATCACATGAGGTTTACATATACGTCTTATAACAATCGTTATAATAGTCATCATTAAGTGCCAAAAGTAACAGCTCACACATAAGGTTGGGTGGCGCTTAACTTTTGTGCATGTGTATATTTAATTTAATATCATAGATACAAATATAAAATTTTGGAGCTCGATAGTCGAATGTTGTCGTTGTACAAAGGCATTGAAAACTGTTCATTGTCATGTGATATAAGGCCACAAGGCTGCGCTGAACTCAGTATCTCGTGTGACCCCCCGGGGAGCAATCACTGCTCTGCATCTTCTCGGCACTGACTGGAAAAGTGTACAAATACTGTCTGCGGCGTGTTCTGACGTTGACGTACACGTTGATCGAGATCATCCCAGAGGTGTTCGATTGGGTTGAGATCTGGAGATCTCGACGGCCAGGGCAAGACATTGATGTTGGCATTATGAGGGTAGTCTACCGTGACACGAGCTGTGTGCGGTAGAGCGTTGTCCTGTTGAAACAGCTCCCTCTGGTGGTCAATGTTTGGAAGAAGGTGAGGTTGAAGAATTTGATTCATATAGCGATTTGCTGTCACATCTCCCTGAACCACAAACAAGTCAGATCTCCTGGTGTGGGATATGGCCCCCCACACCATGACACTTCCGCCACCAAAATTGTCGAATTTATGTACACAATGTTGGGCAAAACGCTCATTTCGCCGAAGATAAACATGTTGTCTTCCATCTCGTCTGTGAAGAAGAAATCGTGAATCATCGCTTAACCGCACTCATCTCCAGTTTCTCAAATTCTAAGGCTGTAAGGTATGGCATCAACGCAAGCGTCGCTATCGATGGATCTGTTGCAAAACAGGGACGATAACTAGTCTTCTGGGTCGGATTCCAGCCTCGCGAAGATGGTTCCTGACAGCCTGGTCCGATATCCTCCTCAAACCATGGATGCGCCATGTAGTCTCCGTAGCTGTTACATTGCGATGACGTAGGTGGAACAGTCGAATGTAGCGATCCTGTGCAGGGGTGGTAACTCTTGGTCGGCCGGTTCTCGGACGATCTGCAGTGGAATTGAACTGTGTGTATCGGTCACAAAGGCAGCCTAGGCAATGACTGCACAATGGCCGCCTCCACTAGACGAGCAAACATGGCGGACGCGACATGTATTGACTACAGAAAAACGCTAGAACGGGTGGTTACATTTTTTTCTTAACATTTTCATCAATGCTCTTGCAATGTATGCGTCACGAGAATAATGTCGATTGCTACTTTTAGTGAAGGAAAACATTATTTTAGCTGTTTCGAGACTCGAAAGTGGTCGTCACATCGGTGAAATGTAAACAATGACACACAACCCATTTTCAACAGTGATATGTGCGTTAATATTTCGTGTCAGCTCACTGTTGTCACGAAATCGTATACATAATACAAGGAATTAAACGACCACGTTATTAAAAAGCATCTTTATTTTAGCAAATCTGATGACGCAAATGTCGCCAATTATGCCCCGTTTTCTCCCATTGTAAAACATTTTTGAAGAGTGTATGTATCGCAGCAGAGTTTGAAATGTACGTGATCTGATGGTCGTCTCTTAACCGGCATACGTGGAAAGTGATTTTGTAAGCACTGCCAAATATGGCGGAACGTTCGTGTTTGCGTATTTTCCAAAACATTATAGGCTTATCAGCGACGTTTCAGAATTATGATCATTGATTTGATAAAAAACAGATATCCGTGATCACTAATATTTTCTATTTTTGAAATTCAATTCTTCGAGTAAATATCCAATATTTAGATTTCTAAATAACGCCGTGAAAAGAGATGTGTCTAAAATTGCGAGATTTACGATGTACCTATTTTTCAGAGGTCACTTTCAATAATTTTACTTTGCCTAAAATGACAGTGGATGACATCAAAGAAGAGGGAATTTCCACAGAATTGTGAAGTGTATTAGTGTGCGTGATGTATTTTGTATTTTATGCGACTTCGAAGTGAGGGTTGAAGAGGATGGACATATATGTCGCCGACCGCCTCCGTGGTCTAGTGGTAGAGCGTACGCCCGGAGAGCGGAAGGTCCAGGGTTCGATCCCGGGCCGCGTCATACAAAAAGACGTTAAAAGATTGTACTTGTTGTTACCCTGTCTGGCGCTCGGCATTAAGGGGCTAAAACAAGGACTGGTCGGCTCGGAGTCAGTATACTGTGTCTGAGTGGGGTATTCATGTTAAACTGCGGCATGGTATCTCAGTGAGCTAGCACTATAAATCGGCATCAGTCCGGACTGGTACAAGCAGCCACACACATACACGTGCATGCACGTCGCTATATAAGTGCAATAATCTTGGACGCGACGTTAAACCCAATTTCACCTCACCTCAACTCACCTCACCTCACCTCACCTCACATATATGTCGCCGTGGCTTCTTGGGGGTTTACACGCTAAAAAACCATGATATTCAACACAGACGTAGGTGACTAAAGCACGTGCAACTTGACTTACAATCAGGAAAGTAGTCCGTCATAATCTGACCTAAGATCATCACCATGGCGTAGCCAATCACGGGGCTGGAATTCGACCTCACACATATGTTTGATGCCAGTTATCTCTAATTTGTTACTCAACCACAGGTGTTGATGATGATGTTGGAGATTAACGAGCGCTTCCGGATGTGCCGATTTCGCACTCGGCCCACAGGTGTGAAGGAAACACAGGGTTATATACATGTGTGACCGGACCTCGGAGAGGGCATCCTGTCCTGGTTAGCAGGGGAAATGCTATTGCCTGCCGAGGTGATCAAAGTGTGTTTTCTAACATAGGAAAACCCAAATAGCAAACTAGCTACAACAACAATACGGAAGGAGTGGGTACCAAACTAAAGCGCTGAACATGAGCTATCCAACGGTACCCCTAAACCTTTACAACCTAAGTACAATTAGTGAGGTGGAAAAATGAACATAAATACATGAGGATCTTCCTGAAATGGAAAAAAAATGTATATCTTGAATCGTTGAATGATTACTTCCCAGTGCTTCTAGAATGTTGAATGGTCTGTGAGAAAACAACTAACTATGGAATAACAAATTGCTTTAAAGTTTTGGGAGCACGGTCGGCCCAGTCGTCTAAGGCGCCGCGATTCGCTGTGCAGAGTTGTGTCCCTTGGGCACGCCAGAAACCTATGATTGTGGGTTCGAATCCCGGTTCGCCCCGATTATGTTTCTAGGTTTCTATACCCGTGCTCGTGGGTTTCACCGAAGTGGTAAACGTCTGAGATCTGCATCACTTCGGGCTTTCCTCCCACATTAAGCTGACACGCCATGATATAACTGGAATACTGTTAAAAGCGGCGTAAAACCCAACTTATTCACTCACTTTAAAGTTTTATAGTGAACTATATATCCCCGAACCCGGTTCTACTTCCAGCAACTAGATATGGATGGGGGACCTACTTCGCCAAGGAGTCGAAGTATTCCGCCCATGACCTCTACTCACCCGTCGATGGCAATGGTTGCAAGAACATCTTCCAGGTGTGCGTCCTCGCTGGTTATAGTACTAAAGGCAAGGAAGACATGAAGGTCCTTCCCGAGAGGCGTTCACAGATAAAGTACGACAGTGCCGTGGATACTATTGGTAACCCTTCAGTGTATGTGATCTTCAGGGACTCGCAGACATACCCCAAATATCTTATATCCTTCAAGAAGGATCAGTGTCTTATATCCTTCAAGAACGACTAGTGAAGGCAGTGAACAGCACAGTGGCAAAGTCATGGACACTGGGGAAACGAGTCCTGGGAACACTCGACGTATTGAAACACTGCTTCACCTGATACTGTAAATCTTGAACATTTTACAAGCCAGATCGACAGCGAAAACTGCGAGTGACACCCATAAATTACAAGTGCAAAAGTAGCTTTGATCTTTGGTAGTCTCATGAACAGGATGTCGAAAAACTTGCGAGAAACAGATGAGGCTGGTGTTAGCCACTCCAATAATTTACTGGCGCTAACCTTTCCAGATTGACAGAATGTTGGACTTCTCCATCGTGTGTGTGTTTGTGTGGCTGCTTGTACTTGTCCAGACTGATGCCGATTTATCGTGCTTGCTCACTGAGATACCATGCCGCAGTTTACATGAATATCCCACTCAGACACAGTATACTGACTCCGAGCCGACCAGTCCTTGTTTTAGCCCCTTAATGCCGAGCGCCAGACAGGGTAACAACAAGTGCCATCTTCTAACGTCTTTTGGTATGACGCGGCCGGGGATCGAACCCTGGACCTTCCGCTCTCCGGGGGGACGCTCTACCACTAGACCACGGAGGCGGTTGAACCACGAGAACGTACAGTAGACTGTAGCATGGGCACACACGTTCGCTTTAGGCACTCCCATACATGTGCTTCGTAACACAACCACGTGTATGGAACCTGAATGGTATTAAAGCTCAATAGCAGGATCCTGAAGTGTCTAGGAAGGAAAACAGTCCTAACAGTTGTCGAATGTATCTTACACGTATCAAATGACCACAAAGCTCCACACAGCGGGAAACAGGGGAGTGGTCCCAGCAGCTTCCTGAGTATCGTGCGCGGTATGTGACGGAAGTGGTAGCCTAGTCCGGGAATGTTCTCACACTAAATAATCAGTAGGTATGTGATTCTAAGGTAGACACGAAGAAAGGCCTGTGAATATCAGTGGGACACACACACACACACACACACACACACACACACACACACACACACACACAGCAACCCATGCTTGCCGTAAAATGTTTGTCGTAAGAGGCGAGTAACGGGATCGGGTGGTCAGGCTCGCTGACTTGGTTGATGCATGTCATCGATCCCAATTGCGTGGATCGATGCTCATGATATTAATCACTGGGTTGTCTGGTCCAGACTCGATTATTCACAGACCGCCGTCATATAGCTGTAATATTGCTGAGTGCGGCGTTAAACAACAAACCAACCAACCAACGCACACGCACACACACACACACACACACACACACACACACACACACACACACATATATAAAGGCAGTCCAACACTGGATATGTACCACTGTACATATATATAATATATATTGAACTTTGAAATGTGTAAATGTGGGATAGGGCATTCTGAGCTGGAAGAACTTGTCCTCTTATCTCGTTCACTTCTGGTGAATAAATGTGTTTAAACAAATACATGTAAATATATGACATTGTAGACTTGTAGACGTTCCCTTCTCCTTTATATTGTATCTATTGTGGGCCGTGACTGCGGTACTGATGTCCATGACATTGTACAGAAACTATACATGGGCCAAGGAGGGTGAAGCCAGCCAGTCAAGTCTAAGGCCACCGTTTGAATAGAGGGTTAGGAATGGTTCACTCTAAGTACATTTTAAATGTATCAATTTGGACGAAAGTTCATTTTAACAAGGGAAAGGGACTTGAATTACCTCCATTTTTGTGCAATCCCTCGATTGTGAACTGAAATGCCAGATGCAATCTACTTCGCTAGAAGTGGTGTACCTGGTTTGTTGACATATTGAATTATTAATTACTCAATTACTGTCATCTTAATATATCATGTCATGTTACAGGTTCTACAATAACTGTTGTCCGTGTAAAATCAACAGCGCATTTTGATCAAGCTAATTTCTGTACTCTATGTATTTTTAATCATTAAACTTGTTCGTTCCCATATCTTAAATTCAGTGTTTATAGTGTGGATATATCGTTGGACTCGATAAATCAAATATTTTTGTTTGTTTGTTGTTTAACGCCGCACTCAGCAATATTCCAGCTATATGACGGCGGTCTGTAAAATAATCGAGTCTGGACCAGACAATCCAGTGATTGACATCATGAGCATAATCTATGCAATTGGGATCGATGACACGCATCAACCAAGTCAGCGAGCCTGACCACCCGATCCCGTTAGTCGCCTATTACGGCAAGCATGGGTCTACCCAGGATCTTCACGGGTGATCGGTATAAATGAGTGAGTGAGAGTGATGTCATTAAACATCTTACCTTTTATCAGTCTCCTCGGGTGGTTAGGCTCTCTGACTTGGTTGATGCCTGTGATCGATCCCAATTGTGTGGATCGATTCTCATGATATTAATCACTGGATTGTCTGGTCCAGACTCGATATTTACAGACCGCCGTCAAAAAGCTGGAATATTGCTGACAACAAACAAGCAAACTTTCTGTCCTTGGTTGCCCCCTGCTCTCTGTACGTTTTTAACCATATCTTTGTTTGTGTGTTTGTTGTTTAACTCCGCACTCAGCAATATTCCTTTTACATTTGTACACGACAGATATAGCGCAACGCAGCCTGCAGATGTCCACTGCACCCGTGTGCAAAACCGCGAGTCGCCATCTTAAAATCTCCGCTCGACTTATGTCTGTATATTTTGTGCACGTTCATCTGATTGTGCTGTCTGTGTGATCTGTGTGGCTGCCATCTCTCTCCGATCCCAAACAAACGTCTCACATTTGAGCAATCCTTTTATATATCCACCCTTTCTTCCGCCATAGAAATAAATCACGATTTTTCTGTATCTTAAAAGAATCAGCGTTGTATTTATCGTAAGGATATTCTAACTGCAGGTGTGGTGACTAGTTGAAAGTAATCATCGCAAAGTATTTCCAGTTAAGAGACTATATGCTAGTCTAGTTAGATATAGCTGAGGTGGATCCATAGTTACGTCTCTTGATTAATGACATTCTGTGTCCATACACCAACACGTGCAGGACACGGTGGTATCTCACGCTGAATGTACGCCCATCTTAAAACTCAAGCTCAGTGATAGCCCGTTTCCGCGGAACTCCATAAACTATCACTGCAACCAGTCAAAGCTCCCCACAGTGATAAGTGGATACAACCATGCTTGGAATTGAACTGCAATGACTGTAATGTTTACAAACACGTGATGACAGTCGTGACGCCGGATACTCATACCCCAGCTAAATTATTTACTTTGTTTGTTATATAATGACACTATAATATATTTCGTATAGTACGAATGTAAGGGTGAGTGGGGTTTGTTTCCATTCGACTGCAATCTCGAAGACGAAACGAAGAAAGAGGTAAACTCATCTTGAAAATCTGGTCAGTCGTAAACCTTTTTATTATTCACTATGAATGCATTCCCCAATACATAAACAAATGTATAAACGTTACTATATTTGGGGTTAGGGGGCAAGACTCTTGTAACGGCCGCTTCCACACTGACGGCAGCGATGTTACCGAGAGTGTAACGAAGGTGTCACGCGCCGGGAAGGAGCTTGATTTTAGACTGGTACAAGGGAGGCAACTCGTGAAAGACTAAAATGTCACACATATCAGTTCTAACACGGCATCACTCGGGTCCACTCGGCTAATTTTGTTACCTATGATACGGGGTTGCGGTAAGTATGTATGCGGTAATCTATCATCGCCAGTTACATTCATTCAACCCGCGGAGTCAAATTGGGGATGAAAATTAAACTGGAAGCGAAAAACAGACAAATCAGACGTTACATTATATATGACCCATGGCGATAATGTCCATTCGATCTTGCAACTGGAATCCAGATATCACTTGACCCACCGAGATACAGCTAGCATTGGGCCAGCGGGCAATCAGCTATTTCTCACACGGGGGATGCGTTTGTTATTTGTTATTTTGTTTGTGTTGAATGTATATGATAATCATAGATATTGATAATGCACACATGTATTCTTGTGATCAGTTGAAATAATAGTTGTTATTCCTTTTGGTTGGAGGTATCTGATTTGTTAATACGCTTAAAGTGGATTTTGTATGTTGTGAATATACGTGTCGTCTGTGGACGATCTGTTGTTGGTAGAGAGCTGCTGGACTCGGGCGCACATTCGTAATCTCAATGATATGGGACATCCATGACTTGGTAGATATTGGGGTTAGATTTTAGTGGCGCTTCACATAAACCACCGACTGCTGGTGTCGATTGGTATCTGCATCAGTGAGGCCATCCTTTTTTATGTGTTTCTTATCTCCAACCTGAACCAGCAAGAGAGCGGGCGTGCGAAATTATTTTTAAAATCATAAAAGAGCTGTTTTCACTAATTGTGTAACATATTTATTTATGACATTTTAAAGTTTAGAACACATTCTTTAATTTTATTTATGACATATCGAGTCCATTTGTTTTGGAAACGAATTGTTCATATATATGTTGAAGAAAGATCAAGCGGACCTGTTTTTTAGTGTGTAATTGTAGGAGTATGTTTTATCATATTGGGACATAAATTTCCACAGCGTTGGGGAGAACTGAGATAAGAAAACATCATTTATCATTTCACGTCGGAGCGAAAATTTAGGGCGGGCGGGAGATAGGAAGCACAGAAAAATATACGGACAACCCAAGTTCAGTTACCGTCGAGTGGGTGAGTGAGTTGGGCATGATTCACATTCGAGATTACAGCGTTCGATACTTCAACGATCTATCAAAATTTAATATTGTATATACATTGAACATTAAAACATACTGATATGAAAAGTTTACTCCGTTGAATACCACTGACTTGAGTGATACAATACCTGTGTAAGTTTAGTTTAACGCCACCTCGATCAGCGGAAGCACTGCGGGTCGGTTTATTGTGGGAGGAAAACCCGAAGTGATGCAGGTCTTTGACGTTTACAACTTTGGTGAAACCCACGAGCTCGGGTTTGAGGCTGAAATAATTAGAACCATAATCAGGGCGAACCGGGATTCAAACCAACAATCATTCGGATGCCAAGAATCCAACATAATAATCCTATGAAGATAACAAATTATGATAACCCTAGTGTCAAGCTACGAACCAACTGACACCTATGGAATGCATAACACGCTGTGCTACATCACTGGACATACTGATGGGCTTTCTGCTGTCCAAACACGGGGGTCAGTACAGTGGCCAGTTGTTGTTGACACATATCCAACCGACGCTGGCAGTGAAAACTTTATTTACCCACGAGTAATAGCCTGTCTGTATTATTTCCGAGTTCCCCATATCCCGACCGGACCGAATTTTCATTTCGACGTGAAATGATAAAACGTTTTCTTACCTCGATTTTCTCCGCCGCTGTGGAAATTAATGCCTCGGTGTGATAAAAGATAAAAAAAGAAAATACTGCTGCCATTGCAAAAAATCCAGGTCAGCTTCAGTTACGTTTATTAAGATATTCGTTTCCGAAGCAATGCGATTCGAAGTACAGTAAACTACGTTTATAACGAACGCTTATAACGAACTGTCGGATATAACGAACTGTTTCTTGGTTCCGTCTATTTTCTGTATAGATGCTGTACATATGCTTATAACGAACTACGGTTATAACGAATTAAAATTAGTGGTCCCTTTGAGTTCGTTATAACCGTAGTTTACTGTACGTCATAAATTAATTCGTAGACTGGTCCCAAGTGTTTTTTACTTTAAAATGCCATAAAATAAGTCACACAGTTAGTGAAGAACAGTTTTATTATTTTTTTAAAATATATTATTTCGCCCGCCCGTTCTCTTGCTGGTTGGGGTTAGAGATGAGAAAATCCTTGAAATATATTTAAACTTAAATAATACACTAAACCCTCACATATATATCTTGTGTACATTATATAGTACTTAACATTACGTATAATCCCATCATTCTGACTGTCAAAACTGGACACTGCTGATCACGCTTGATAACTGACCACCGAGATATCTTTTGTGTAAATATTATGTACAAACCTTGACCATCTTGTGTTACCTGATTTCTATGTAGGAGAAGTACAGTAAACTACGGTTATAACGAACTCAAAGGGATCACTCATTTTAGTTCGTAATAACCGTAGTTCGTTATAAGCACATATACATCATACAACAACAAATAGTCGGGACTAAAACCTAAGTTCGTTATATCGATCAGTTCGTTATAAGCGTGTTCGTTATAAACGTGGTTTACTGAATTAAAATAAGCTCTGTCCTGTTTACAGACCCCAAGTTTCAGTTGAAAATTAATATGATTAAACGATACAAAGATATGTATACTTAGGTTGTTGATAACTGTCTATCATCAATACGTGTCTGTTTATTTCCTGAGACTACTATCGAACTGTAAATGTTGTACCTATGTGATATATAGTGTGATCTCGAGAGCACATGTCTTTTTGAACGGTAAAATCTTGTTTGAAATTCTTGAATTTGTTTTGCTGAGACACGAATATTTATAGGCTCCCATGATATAGTATTTACTACGGCGCTAAACAACATTCAGTCAGTTGACCCAGATAATATGCACAGAAGCCGGATTAACCTACAATAACTTGACACCCAGAAAGGATGCACAGTCAAAACACGTTTACCACTTGAGTGCGATAGTGTATTCCATTTTCGCTACCACCTGAGGTCACCTGTGTCACGAAAGGTCTCGTGAGGTCATGTTGAGTAAACAAAATGGTAATGACTTGACGTGACTGTGTCAGTTGGATACAAGAAACGGGAGTTGTCATACCTGCTCGTTGCTAGTCGAGCGAAGATACTTATATACGTATAGTCCATTTCAACATTGTCTGCTTGACACAGTTACACGGTTTGAACGCGTTGACTCCGATAAGGTTGCCGCAGTGACAAAAAACATTTCGTGGGCGTGGGCGTGGGTGTTGGCGTTACTAATGCCGTATGTGTGACTGCTGTGAAAACGTACATGACTAGGAATTTATGATCGCCCCAATAAGGAACCCGCTAATTAGAACGTTTACAAGTTCCGGGTCGTTAAGATGGTTAATGAAACGTTTCTTTAACGTCAATGTGATGGAAATCATTAAACAACAAAGATAAACACGAGCGTGAGTGAGTCTGGTTTCACGCCGCTTTTGCCTATATTCCAGTAACATCACGGCTGGGGACACAAGCAAATGTCTTCACCTATATGTCTGTACCTATATGGAAAATCGAACCCGGTCTTCGGCGTGACGAGCGAAGGCTTTAACCACTAGACTACCCCACCGCCCCAGATAAACAAGACAAGCGTAAGAGTGTGGAGCAACAGTTACTTAGTGACTGAGTGAGTGAGTGAGTGAGTGAGTATGGTTTAACGCCGCTTTTAGCAATATTCCAGCAATATCACGGCGGGGGACACCAGAAATGGGCTTAACACATTGTACCCATGTCGGGAATCGAACCCGGGCCTTCGGCGTGGCGAGCAAACGCTTTAACCACAAGGCTACCCGACCGCCCCTAATTACTTAGTAGCAGTATTTATCTCTATTAGACACCAGCCCCCAAGTCTAAGGCTGTATAATTCGCTGTGCTGAGTTGCGTCCCGTGAGCGTGCCATACAGTTATGATCGCGGGTTCGAATCCCGGATCTCCCTGATGATGTTTCTAAGTTTAACAACACGACACCCGTGCTCGTTGCTTTCACCAAATTGCTAAGTGTCTAATACCAGCATCCTTTTGGGCTTTCATCCCACATCAGCTGACACGCCGGGACATAACTTAAATGATATTCAAAGTGGTGTTAAACCCACCTACTGAGTACCTCACCCACTAACTGTAAGGGGGCGGTCTGGTAGCCTAGTGGTTAAAGCGTTCGCCCTTCACGCCGAAGACCCGGGTTCGATTCCAAACATGGGTAAAATATGTGAAGCCCATTTCTGGTGTCCCCTGCCGTGATATTGCTGGAATATTGCTTAAAGCGGCGTTAAACCATACTCACTCACTCACTAACTAACTAACTAACTAACTAACTGTAAGGCATATGTGAACCAACAAGGGAAAAGGGACCTTATAGGTGTTAGGAAACAATTGTGCTATGACGTCATAAAGACGTTTGACGTCAACTTACTTCAGTGAAGATAGCCATGTGTGATGCCATGTATCTCTGTAATAAATATGAATTAAAGGTTGTGAATTGTATGTTTGTGGACAGAGGTTACTGTCGTTTTCAAAATGTGATTTTTCACCCGTTAGGTCCCTTATCTCATGGATGGTCTGCCGTAAAAGGTGACTATGCTTGTCGTAAAAGGCGACTAACGGGATCGGGTGGTCAGGCTCGCTGACTTGGTTGATGCATGTCATCAATCCCAATTGCAAATGCGTGGATCGATGCTTATGATGTCAATCACTGGATTGTCTGGTCCAGACTCGATTATTTACAGACCGCCGTCATATAGCTGGAATATTGCTGAGTGCGGCGTAAAACAACAAACCAACCAACCAACCAATCATGGATGGTCACATATAGCGAAACAACCTCAGTCCGGTACCTCCACCTTCTGGACCCCACTCTGGACCTCTACCCTCGCTTCTACTTCTACCTACTTCTACCCTCGCTTCTACTTCTACCCTCACTCCTACTTCTACCCTCACTCCTACTTCTACCCTCACTCCTACTTCTACCCTCGCTCCTACTTCTACCCTCACTCCTACTTCTACCCTCGCTTCTACTTCTACCCTCGCTTCTACTTCTACCCTCGCTCCTACTTCTACCCTCGCTCCTACTTCTACCCTCACTCCTACTTCTACCCTCACTCCTACTTCTACCCTCACTCCTACTTCTACCCTCACTCCTACTTCTACCCTCGCTCCTACTTCTACCCTCGCTTCTACTTCTACCCTCGCTCCTACTTCTACCCTCACTCCTACTTCTACCCTCGCTCCTACTTCTACCCTCGCTCCTACTTCTACCCTCACTCCTACTTCTACCCTCACTCCTACTTCTACCCTCGCTCCTACTTCTACCCTCACTCCTACTTCTACCCTCACTCCTACTTCTACCCTCGCTCCTACTTCTACCCTCGCTCCTACTTCTACCCTCGCTCCTACTTCTACCCTCGCTTCTACTTCTACCCTCGCTCCTACTTCTACCCTCACTCCTACTTCTACCCTCGCTCCTACTTCTACCCTCGCTCCTACTTCTACCCTCACTCCTACTTCTACCCTCACTCCTACTTCTACCCTCGCTCCTACTTCTACCCAGCCCGGAGATACCGTGAGAAAATATCCGCAGTACACGGACAAACCTCACATACCAATATAGCCTTCAGTGTGAACAACGCGACCCGTTCCGCCCTGTCGCTTCTCAATGCGATACGCTTTAACGCTTACTCAATATTCAACTAAATTTTTATGTTGCCTTATCACGATCCTACAGTGTAATGAAAAGACACTTTGTCAAGAAAGATGAAGAAAAAAACATGTAATCTTCACAGGACCACATCCAAATGTCATATCTGAAGAAAGAAAATACTTGGATGAATACCTTTACCAGTGTCTGTAAATCTAAAGGCATGGGTTGGATATAGATACGTTGTTGCCTACCGATGGGTGGAGAAGAATGTTGGACTTAAAGATACGGGAAAACACTTGAGAAAACTGTCAGTTGATGCGGTTTAGTTATGTATGAGTGAGTGAGTTATGACACAATCAACACTCTGTCTTTAATCTAATACTTAAAGTATACACCCATGTTTGACGGTGACTACAAATAAAACGAACAAGAAATGGTTATTCAGATGTGATACATATTTGATAGGTTATCATAGATGTATTTTGTACCTTTACTTCGCAATGTTTTGGCAACTGTTTTCAAGTAACGTTTGATAACATGTGTAATGTTTCGGTCAAATACAGTTTTCAAGTGTACTTTCTTTTTTTAATTATGAAATAGACTGATTTCATTTTTTACAACGATTTAGGTTCGACAATACCACCTTTGTCCCCTGGAGTCCGAGTTACATTGTGTAAGCTATGTATAACCAACGATGGGAGAATCGCGGTAGCGTGGCACTGGTTCTTCTTCTAACAATTCGGGGCGGTCGGGTAGCCTAGTGGTTAAAGTGTTCGCTCGTCGAGCCGAAGATCCGGATTCGATTCCCGACGTGAATATAAATGTGTGAAGCCCATTTCTGGTGTCCCCCGCCGCGATATTGCTGGAATATTGCTAGAAGCGGCGTGAAACCATACTCACTCACTCTAACAATTCAGTTACGAAGTGGTGTAGAATGTACGTTGTCCTGAATTAGGAGATCAAATTCATTTAATGTGTAGGTGTAATTTGACTCGTGAGGGTGAACGAATGGTATTTTAAGTCACAGCGTTCCAGTTATATCATATCGGCCTGTGAATAATCTGGTACAAACAAATCAGTAACGCAAACTATACTCACCACAAAAGAAACGCGAATACCGTAGGTTAATATATGAAGAATGACTGTTATTCAAGAGATATTAGATTGGTTCGATGCACAAACGAACACACTATTATCTAGTGTGAACCGACGCTCATGAACGCGGCACATGTGACGTCATAGATCTATGACTCGAGATGCACCATTTGTCTCGTGCAGGATCAGCGTGTAAAGTTTGGAAGTCACGAGCAGCATATGGTGATAAGAATAAAGACACTCTGTGGTAAAACTTGACAGATTGTTAGTTTTGTCATTAATTGATACACATTGGAAGCATCCCTTCTTAACGTACATACTTCTCTTAATGTTCCTATGGTTCGCGTTTCTTTTCGCGGTGAGTATATAAGCAGACATCCCACCCTGAGTGTTAGATGACACGCTGTCTTCAAGCCTTACCCCCCACTCGTTCCCCAATGTAGTCGGTTCTTACTTTTGTTTGTGTGGTTTTTTGTTGTTTAACGCCGCACTCAGCAATATTCGAGCTATATAACGGCGGTCTGTAAATAATCGAGTCTGGACCAGAAAACCCAGTGATTAATATCATGAGCATCGATCCACGCAATATTGGGATCGATGACATGTATCAACCAAGTCAGCGAGCCTGACCACCCGATCCCGTTAGTCGCCTTTTACGACAAGCATGGTCGCCTTTTACGGCAAGTATGGGTTGCTGAAGACCTATTCTACCCCGGAATCTTCACGGGTCCGGTTCTTACTACAGACATAGGACACTTGAGACTCATAGGTATTTCTACCCGCAATCCCCACTGGAGACTGCACGATGGTCATTTTAATGCAGTTACTTTAGACGCTGCGGTCAGTCCCAGATCGTACTGACCAATCCAGTTTGAGCAGTAAATTCCTAACAATTAAGTAAGCTCATTTTTCGACAATGGCAATGACTAACAACAGTATAGATGTCTGACTATCGTAACCTGCGTATTTAACGACATGCCCCGTCCATTAAAAATTGGGTCACGTGGCGAGACAGGGCTCATCTGATTCCTGACCTCTGTAAATCGGTGGCCAATATTTGAGAGCCTGGACACATGTTTACATGGCTTTTTAACAAAGGTCATCCTCACGACCGTCAATAATGATAAACACCATGTGTCATATTAACAGCGCAATGCAAAGTCTGTTCGATTATCTGCGGATGTGCTAAAAAAACCAGGGACATAGTATACAGCCCTGTCCGACGCCTTCATCGACTTGATATATTTTAGGTATGCTTTGTGATTTAATTATTTTGAGAGCAATGTAAAATATGTGCGGTTATCTGGTGATGTATTTGAAAAAAATAGTGACAGGGTATACAAGTCTGATGTCGCCATTGACTACATAATATATATGCTTTTGCCATTATAACAGTAATGTAAACGATGTTCGATTGTCTACGGCTGGTATCTTAAAATAGGGACATGGTGTACAACCCTGTCTGATATCACCAAGGAATATATTTAGGATAGGTGCAGTTGGCATTATAACTGCAATTTAAAATATGTTCTGCGGATAGTATAAAAGATATGGACATAGTTTACAACCTTGTCTAATGCCGTCATCGAATACATATTGTGTAGATGTAATGTGTATGAATAGGTACAGCGTCACATGTATGTTCATGTTTCACACTGAAACATGCAATGCACGGTTAGTCTTCAGTAATTGTACGGGGCTAGCAACAGGGAAATCTGACAAACGTTAACCGACAATGTATAATGACAAACACTATCGTACTAGTGTTCTCCATGACGCGACAACAAAAACTGACGATCGTCTCTTTTAAACATGACGGCTTGTGAAGACAAATGAAAGCGTTTTGTTGATGAAAAGATATGATGTTTTCATGTGATGTGCTTTCTTCTGCATGGCTGGTAAAATATCCACGTGTGCGTTAACACTGGTACACCTGTGAATACCCTTTATGGCGGAAACTAAATATTGTCACAAAGTAGAACAAAATATTTAGGAATATTGTCTCATGAATTTGTCATGTTTAAGCTATCCTACACTCCACGCGTTGTGGGGGCACGGGTGGCCCAGTCGTCTAAGGCGCCGCAATTCGCTGTGCAGAGTTGTGTCCCTTGGGCATGCCAGAAACCTATGATTGTGGGTTCGAATCCTGGTTCGCCCCGATTATGTTTCTATGTTTGTCAGCACCATACCCGTGCTCGTGGGTTTCACCGAAGTGGTAAACGTCTGAGACCTGCATCATTTCGGGCTTTCCTCCCACATTAAGCTGACACGCCGCGATATAACTGGAATACTGTTTAAAGCGGCGTTAAACCCAACTCACTCACTCACTCACTCCACGCGTTGTATCAAGCCAATACATTCACAGGATATTGCTTGTGGAGTTACTGTGTGAAGATAGTTGTTGGATGACAACGTATAGTACGCGGTTAAGTCATTTCAGATTAACCCCATGGCCCTTTATTAGGTCAGACTTACGTCTTCATCCGTCATCAGTTCAGATTTTCGTCATAATCCGTTTTAATTTCAGTTTAACGTCACCATCCGTTTTAAGTTCAGAATAACGTCATCAGATTTATCAGTTCAGATTTACTGTATCAGTTCAGAGTTACTTTATCAGTTCAGATTTAGTATATCAGTTCAGATTTACTGTATCAGTTCAGAGTTACTGTATCAGTTCAGATTTACTGTATCAGTTCAGAGTTACTTTATCAGTTCAGAGTTACTGTATCAGTTCAGATTTACTGTATCAGTTCAGAGTTACTGTATCAGTTCAGATTTACTGTATCAGTTCAGAGTTACTTTATCAGTTCAGATTTACTATATCAGTTCAGATTTACTATATCAGTTCAGATTTACTGTATCAGATCAGAGTTACTTTATCAGTTCAGATTTACTATATCAGTTCAGATTTACTGTAACAGTTCAGAGTTACTTTATCAGTTCAGATGCACTTTATCAGTTCAGATTTACGCCATGATCCTTCATCAGTTCAGATTTACGTCACCATCCGTTACCTGTTCAGATTTACGTCATAATCCGTTTTAATTTTAGTTTAACGTCACCATCCGTTTTAAGTTCAGAATTACGTCATCAGATTTATCAGTTCAGATTTACTATATCAGTTCAGAGTTACTTTATCAGTTCAGATTTAGTATATCAGTTCAGATTTACTGTATCAGTTCAGAGTTACTGTATCAGTTCAGATTTACTGTATCAGTTCAGAGTTACTTTATCAGTTCAGATTTACTATATCAGTTCAGATTTACTGTATCAGTTCAGAGTTACTTTATCAGTTCAGATTTACTGTATCAGTTCAGAGTTACTTTATCAGTTCAGATTTACTGTATCAGTTCAGAGTTACTTTATCAGTTCAGATTTACTGTATCAGTTCAGAGTTACTTTATCAGTTCAGATTTAGTATATCAGTTCAGATTTACTGTATCAGTTCAGAGTTACTGTATCAGTTCAGATTTACTGTAACAGTTCAGATTTACTATATCAGTTCAGATGCACTTATCAGTTCAGATTTACGCCATGATCCTTCATCAGTTCAGATTTACGTCACCATCCGTTCCTTTTTCAGATTTACGCCATCAAACGTTATTAGTTCAGATTTAAGCCATAACCCGTTACCTGATTAGACTTACGACATCAACCGTTATTAGTTCAGACTTACGCCATAAACCGTTAATAGTTCAGATTTACGTCATCAGTCTTCATCATTTCTGATTTAAGCCAAGTGCCCTTATTAGGTCATACTGGCATGACAACCTCTAGTAAGCTCTGGATTACACCATTATTTGTATCACCTCGAATTTAGGTCACTAGTCGTGTTTACCCCAATGTTATCAGCCCGAGACAGCGCTGAGCGGAGTTCGTCCTTTGTCTCAGAAGCTTTTTTTAACGTAACCTACTCAGATCTATATCTTACACCATCGTGCACGTATACAGACACTCC